CCTATTGTTGCTGCTGTGTATGCATGTATGGGCTTTCATGTGTCCTGGAAAATACTCTCAAAAGTAGAATTGTTGGGTTAAAAGATCAGTTTTAATACAGGCTGATGTTTTAAAACACTACAGATTCGTATTCCCGTCGGCAACATGTGTCTCCCTTCCTATGAGTTCAACTTTTTGTCTGGTCACAGGCTTTGTTACTCTTTGAAATGAAAGAACTGTACTGTCTGTCTGTCTGTCTGTTGGGTGTTGTGTGTCACTGTGTCCTCAGGACTTTCCTGATTGTATATTTAAATATTTGTTCTGGGCCATGTCTCTGGTTCTCTTCTTCAGGACTCCTACTCTGTGTATGCTGACATTCCTGTCTCTGCCTTCCATAGCTGTCATTTTATTTCTTTGCTTATTCTTCTGCCTGGTCCTCTAAATCCCGTATCTGACTTTTAGCCTCGTCTCTGTTCTGTTGTTTCTAACATGGCCTTCTTTCTCTGCTGCTATTATTTTCTCTTTAAACTCAGTCAGCCACATTTCAAGTGCTCAGTAGTCACTCTGGGATGGCACAGAATAGCTTTCACAAGAAGAGGGTGACAGGCCTGCAGTTCTGGGGACCTGCCTCAATCTTTCCACAGTGGCCCATTCTCCCCAGGCATCCCTGAGGAAATTAAGGGCTTTGAAACAATTTGCAAGCTACTTGATAGTCTAAGTGTGTCACAAAGGAGGTAAATTTCACATAGAAATGACCAAGGAGTCTAATTTGTGGCTATAAAGTTTGGGGACTCACCTGTGCTCAAACACTTAACCATAAAGCAGAACTAGGTGGACCCTGAAACGAATAGCTAGGGTTATAAGGTACTAAAAAACCTTACCAACTGATTGTAAGAATTGTTTGAAGAAGGTTCCTGTGTGTAGATGGTCTTTTTTAAACTATATTTGTAACATATACATACACACATATACACATGTTGCAATATTGTTACTTCCAGGTTCTCACACTAGTGAGACAATACAGTGTTTACATATGTGTGTCTTGTTCATTTTACTGGTAAGTATGGTTGCAAGTTGCATCCATTAACCTATAAAAGTCTCCAGTTTATTCTTTATGGCTGAGTAGTACTCCATTGTACTACATCTTTTTATCCATTCCTCAGTCAATGGGCATTTAGGTTGTTTCCAAGATCTTGTTATTACAAATTGTGCTGCTGCAAACATAGGTGCACATATATCACTGTGGTATGATATTTTAAATTCTTTTGGGAAGGTACCCAGAAGGGAAATACCTGGGTCAAATGGGACTTCTAGTCCTAGTTTTTTGAGGAATTTCCACACGTATTTCCACAGTGGTTGCACCAATCTGCATTCCCACTAACAATATAGAGGGGTTCTGTTTGCCCCACACACCTTCCAACATTTGTTATTGCTTGATTTCTTGATGATAGCCATTCTTTCTGGGGTGAGGTGGAATCTCAGTGTTGTTTTAATTTGCATCTCTCGAAGATAGATGGTCTTCTTACAGCACAGAAAAAGTGTTACTGGCTATGAAGGGCCAATGCCTCCAGTGTTGACCCAAGGAAGACAGCCTGGCTAAATTCCCAGCTTGAGCCAGGCACAGTGGTGTGCACCTACAATGCTAGCACTCTGGAGCCTAAGGCAGAAGGATCGCTGAGTTCAAGGCTAGCCTCGGCTACATAGCAAGACCTGCCTCTAAACAAAACAAAGCAAAATCCCACACTGTGGGAAGCTGAGGCAGGAGGAATATTTCAAGTTTGAGTCCACCCTCGGTGGCTTAGCTACTTAGTGAGATGCTGTTAAAAAATAAAAATGGATTGAGGATATAGCTCAGTGTGAAGGCCCTGAATTCAATCCCCAATACAGGGGGAAAAAAAAAAAAAAAAAAAAAAAAGATGTAACAGGTCATCCCCAGAAACCAGCAGAAATGGGAGCTCCAGATGATCATGGCTCTCTGATCACAAGCTCTCTAAAAGCAATCTTAAGCTCTCACAAGGAGACAGAATGTACTCACTAGAGGATCCCACTGTGCAGCCTACTTGGCAGGTGTGTCCTTCACGTCAAGTGACAAGATGACATCTTGATTAGAAATTAGTTATCAATCACTCAGCCAAACTGCATTTTCAGAAAGACTATATGGGATTCCTGAAAGATGCACTTAGGAAAAGTACTCAGGACTATGTTGTCATGGTTGGACAGCACAGTCACCACATGATACTGTCCTGAGATCGGCGGAAGAAAGGAGGGTCTACCTAAGCAATGTCTTCGCAGACCAGAGGGATCAGAGATTGTGAGGCCCTTGCAGCTCTGCAGAACAGACGTCTTAACAGTGCTGGCTCACTTCAAAGGAAAAAAATTACCTTCAAATTATGTGTGACTCTCTGCATTATGGTGCCACCTCTTGGATGTAAGTGAGAGTCACATGCATTAAAACGATCTGAACTCAGAGCCATGGTGGATTCCTAAAATTTATTTTCGGCCTGTTATGGAACTACTTAATCAAATCTCTTAAATCTAAAAGTGTGCCGGTAGCTGATAGGCCAGAAAATCACCTACTAAAGCTTGTGAGTTTCTAGCTATTTGAAACTTGACATACTGCAAAGGTGCCACTAGTATTCTCAGTCTCCCTGCAGCCTGCAACCAAGAGAGGGTTGTAGAATGGCCCATCAGAGTCAGGAGTCCAAAATCTGTGCCAGCCTGCAGGGCAAAATGAGCCAGGGATTTCCTTCTCTAGTCCTGTTAACGTATAGTGTAGGACCCAAGCTATTAATTACTGAATGCCTTCTACAGAAGTGCTTATCTTTTATCATAATATGGCAGGTGCAGGGTTAGATCACCACAGTATGAGTCAGTGTAGGTGGACGATTTATCTTTCAAATTTCATTTATGGGCTGCCTCAAAGCCAGGACCCTCTAGACAGTACGGAACAAAAAAAGTATAGACTTACAGATCGACTTACAGATTGGCTAGCCAGTATTCACTTAAAATTAAGGGGGATACGCCAGGCTACAATTGTGTTATTAGAAAGATGTTATGGAGGCTGGAGATTTTGTGTCCTTGAAGCTTGATCTTACACTTGGGTATATGTCAGTATTCTTAGGCAGATCAGGAGCCAGCTGAAGAAAGCTGCAGAAGTAAACTATGGTAGGTCCAGGGACCCAAGCTTTTGCTGTGATGTGTCACTGGTGGGCAAGAGCCCTGTGCGGGACAAAAACTATTTTACTGCTTATTTACAGGGGAGACAGGACTCATCTGGGATGTAGCGCCTGGGCCAGTTCCTACATCTGCCAATGCTTGTTTTCTTTGCTGTAGATTCAACTCGGGACTTCTCTGGCGCTAAGCTACATCCCAAGGCCTTTAAAATTCTTGAGACAGGGTCTCTCCCAGTTGCCTTGGCTGGCCTGCTATCCTCTTGCCTTTGCCTCTTAAGTAGCTGGGCTTACAGGTGGGCCATCATGTCTGACTTTGGCAAGTTTTTTATAATAAAGTGTTACTGTGATGTTTCCTCTTCTTAGAAATGTTTTCTAAAAAACACTCACTAGACAAAAAGTGCGCATTTTAAATGAAGTTCATAGACTAGTGGAAATTGTTGGTTCCCATTAGGCCCCTGTTCTTGTTCTCTCTTGGTAACTTTTCCCAAATTTATTCTGTTATTCACCTTTCTATTCTTTTGATTCCAAATATGCCAACCCTATCTCCAGCTCTAGGATGGGATTTCTTGGCTTAAAATGACTAGAGCTGGGCCAGGGATATAGCTCAGTGACAGAGTCTACCTGGCAAGTGCAAGGTCCTGAGTTCAATTCCTAGTACCAAAAAAAAAAAAAAATTATTAATGTGATTCTATTCTGCCGTCACTGGCTCAGGGAACTTTCAGCAAGGTGTTCTGTGACCACAGGAGCTTGTTCATGTAACACTGCCCCCACACACACCCTGGAAACTTCTTGTGAACAACCTGGGCAAGTTATAATGGGAGGCTGAGTTCTGGGGAAAGAAATACCAGCTCTTTTCTGAGCTGCCTTTTTTGCCCAGTGGGATGGAGTAATGTGTGAATGTAAAGCCTGTGACATAGCCTTTTGCCTCTGTGAAGGAAACAGGCCTAAAGATGAAGCTGGCATTACTAAATAAGCTGAGTGAAACTAGCCTCTGAGTACACCTCTGGGCCATAAAGGCATGTGAATGTATGGATATATCCTTAATTTTATCGTACCGCAGTACTGGGGACTAAAGTCTTTGCACAGAGCTGTATCCCTTGCCCTTTTTATGTTTTGAGACAAAGTCTCACTTGCCTAGGCTGGGCTCAAATTTGTAACTGTCTGGCCCCAGCCTCCAGAGGGTTGAAATCATAGGCATGCACCCTTTATAATTTAAGCCAGGTAGATATGTGCTTTTCTCTGCCCAAGAAAATATCACAACAGTGAGCCATGTAAGAGCACAAGCAAAACACCATCCCAGCACACACTGGAAGTGCTGAGTGGGAAAATTCTCAAGGCAAACTGAAGCACACAGGAGGCAGATGGGAAGCAGCTCAAAGACAAGGCAGGGAAGTTGAAACTAACTGCACATAACCACTGCAATCCTGGGCAAGCACTGACCTTTCTGGGTTCTTGGTTTCTATCTACAAAATAAGGGTTGTACTAGAGGAGTAATTTTCAGCTCTCAACTCTTTTCCCATCAAGAATATTATTGGTCCTTCTTACAGATTTTGTACCTTTAATGATTATGTCCATCAGTGTTTTTCTCATGTACTTATTAAAGCACACAGCTACAAATCAGCAAAGGTAATGGTTATCTAATAAACTGTTGTTACTTGCACCAAATATGTAAAAAAGAATTAACTTTTTCAGCTTTAATATACACATAACTTCTACTAGGTTTTACAATGCTGCAAATAGTTTCTGGGTCCTCTTTCTTCTTTTAAGAGTCTTTGGTGATTCGTAAGAAAAACTGGATTTGAATCATGCAAGTGACTACTGAGGAGGAAGAAAACTTCTCAAAAATAATTAAACTACAAGTCTTGATTATTTTTATTTATTTTTTCAGAAAACAGTCCATGTAGTTTAGTCAGGGATTTGGTACATGCCTGTAATCCTAGCATTCTAGGAGGCTGTAACAAGCAGGATCCTAAGTTCCAGCCCAGCCTGAGCAACTTAGCAAGACTACCTCAAAATAAAAAAAGGGCTGGGAATGTAGCTCAGTGTGAAAACCTTGGGTTCAATCCCCAGTACCACCAAAACAAAACAAAACAAAACACTGTGTAACCTTTAAAAGACTTAAAAATCATTTTTGCTGGGGCTGGAGATTTAGCTCAGCGGCATAAGTACCTGCCTTGCAAGCAGGCAGCCGTGAGTTCAATCCCAGGTACCGATAATAAGGAAAAAGACAAAAAAAAAAAAAAATCATTTTTGCTCTTAGATAAACATCTTTAAATACAAGACTAAAAGCAATACAATGGATTTTTCCTGTCACTTGTTCACTGGATTAGAAGGCAATTCCCAGAGTTCCAGAAACGATGTGGAAATATTATCATTTTAGTTTACTGTCAGGATAACTTCATTCAATGAGGAATCAGAGGATCTGGATCCTAGGTCTTACACAGTGTGATTCTGGTAAGTCTCCTGGCTTCTAGGTATCAGAAGCTCCACCACAGTGGTTTGCAAGGAATCCAATCAGTTTCTATAACATGAAATCAGAGGAACAAGGTTCAGGCTGTTTGGGGTCAGGGATTTTAGAACCTATACTCAATGATAGTACTTTAAAAATGGCTATGTTTTGTGTTTGATTCACATATGTATATAAATATATCTTCTGTTCTTTGTATATTTAAACATATTTTCCTATTTAGCAGTCTCTTCATCATTAGTTATAAAAAAGTCCTCCGAGAATGTACTTTTCATTTCTTGCTTTTATTCTTTTTCTGCTTCCTTTTTTAATTTTTCCAAGATCTCTTCGGGCGTTGTAGAGGCCAAAAGCTTCACCACCTTTTCACGAGATTTACCACCCTGAACCAAAAAGACAAAAATACACTCAATATTGTGATGCTGTCAGGAACACAGACCTCAGCTGTCCTGTTGTAGCCATGTGTTGGTGAAGATGACACAGATAGGTTCCTGATTTTTACAACTTGTCAAGTTTTTTTTTTTTTTTTTCCTTTAAATGCAGGGTCTCACTATGTAGTGCAGGCTGGCCTTGAACTTGCTTATGTACTCAAGGTTGACCTCAAACGCAGGTGATTCTCCTGCCTCAGCCTCCCGAATACTGAGATTACAGGCATACATCACCATATCTGGCTAGGGTATTTACCTTTACACCTATACTAGTAAAAGTTCTCTATAACAACAAAAGTTCTTGGCATTAAAATTTTGTATTTTTAAGTACTTTAGTTTAAAAAACCATTTTAAACTACCAAGGTAAACATTGCATTTTATATAAACTTTGTATAAAATAACTCTAAATGTAAACAAACTGCTATTCTTTACATTGTTAAACATGTGTGAAAATGCCAAAAACAACCACATACCCAGCTGCTATTGTAACAGAAAATGGTCCCCCACCCAGTATACTTCAGTTTCTTAGTTTACTGTGAGGATAACTTCATTCAATGAGGAGTCAAAGGATCTGGATAATAGTTCCAGTAAAGTTCCTGGTGCAGTTCTGGTTGCTTCTCTCTCTTAGAAATGGCTGTTCACTACGGCTGGGGATTTAGCTCAGTAGCATAAGCACCTGCCTTGCAAGCAGGCGGTCGTGAGTTCGATCCCTGGTACCGATAAAAAAAAAAAAAAAAGAAATGGCTGTTCACTGTGAGGCACAGCTGGTCACTTGCATATGATCAATTGCATATGATGCATATTGCAAGAACCAATCAAAGACAGCCAAGTATTCTCCTTTGTACTTCTCCTGTCAGACCCCATAAAAAACTCACTCCCTCAGCTTTTAGGGCCTGACATTTTGAGAACAAATTGATTCCTAGTCAGTGCCCATCTGATGTTAAGTAAATCTGGCCCCAAATCATGGGTGTCATTTTGGTGTTTCGGTTGCCATTGCATCTCGGGCATCAGCTGAGAAAACCAACTGTGCTGACCTCTTTGGTGACTGGTTGTGGCCCTCGAGGATAGAACAAGGACCTCTCCAGGTCCCGACAGGAAGGCATGCCCTCAAGCAGCTCACATTGGGCCCCAAAAGGAAGAGGACACAGTCTGCCTTCCTGTCTGCCTGCCTGATTCCAGTGAGACTCCCAGGGCACCCCAGTTAGCCTGTCAGTCCTGCTCAGCTTGAGTAAAAGGGAGTCCTGGGGGCTGGGGATTTAGCTCAGCGGCATAAGCGCCTGCCTTGCAAGCAGGCAGTCATGAGTTCGATCCCGGTACCGATAAAAAGGAAAAAGACAACTCCCACTAGTCAGGACCATCCTCAAGAGAAGGGAGTTGGAATGTTTAACCTCTGAGTGCCTGCTGAATGTGTGAGTGGACCGGACAACATAAGCAACAGGTTTCTCCATCTGTGCACCAAGACTGGGAAGCACAGGTCACAGAGGCCGACTAGGCCCTACCTGTATTCTGTAGTGCTTGACATATGACATAGAGGAGGCCTCACATCCTCCTTAGCTAAGTTGCACCTGAGTCCCTGCAAGGGGAATGGCCAGGTAGACATTTGAATGATTGCTTTCTCTATGGGCACCCACCCTATGGCTGTTGTGCCATCATTCAAAGGCACACGACACACACATAGGAACTCATAGAAGGGAATTAGTCAAAACCCACCGTCCCTGACTACAGGAAAAAGGGCTTTTCTGGTGATTAAACCAAACTGCTCTCAAAAAAAGAGAGGCCCAGTCATCCTGAGAATTCTGCCTTTGCACCCTCATCAGCCTCTGCAGTTGCTGCCAATGGTTTCACCGCCATCTGCTCCAGACTCATCTACTTCCAGCCAGCTGAACTGGCTCCAGTGTCACTGCCTGCACTTGGCCATAAAGTCCTCCCCCAAAACTTCCTGGCTACGCCTATCTTGGTCAGATGGCATATGGCTATGACCTATACAGTGTAGTACTGGAAAACAAGCAGCTTTAAAGATACAACACAGCGGGGACCCACTCCTACAGATCCTGTTTCAATTTTTTATGGTTATATCCAGGAACCTGTACTGCAGAATGATTCTCAAGTAATTTTAGTACAAAACCATGGTAGGGGTTACTGACTTCACATGAACCTACTATCTTCCTATTAAACTTCTCAAGAAAGGATCAATGTTGAGGGATCAGAAACAATAAACTCACTAGTGGAGATGACAAACAAGTGGAACCATTTTCTTTTTGGTTTTTAGTATAGTAATGTCTCTTTTTATTAGTACACATTTGCAATACATAACTTAGACTCATCCTGGGAATTTGTACATACAACACAGTCACATCTTAATCATTCCTCTTCCCTGCCTCTCCCTCCAACCTCCCCCCATCCCTGGTGTGGCAACACCTTGAAGCAAAAAGTAAAACTGGTCTAACTGCAGGTTTGGAAATGGGTTGAGAAGAAGAAAATGCTAGTAATGGTGGCAATTAAGAACTATAAATAAAGAGAATGCATAAACTGAAGAGACTGAAGAATTGAAATGAAGGAGACCAAACAGGAAGAATTCACAGATTTTTGTGACTGAGTGAGTATGTAAGTTAAACTGATTTCCCAAATTATTTGAAGAAAACAAGTCAATATTTTATGAGTCATGGTTGACATGTAATATTCAAAGATGTTTAAAGAGAGAGACCTACCTTATCTAACACTACATCGCTCTTCCTGAGTTCTAAGACCTTGGAAAGATATCGACAGAGCTCAGTGTTGGCCTCTCCCTCTGTCGGAGGGGCTGCAATTGCTATGTTTACAGCTTCACTGGTCAGATCTGGAATGAAATGGTGTGAACTTTATCTCTGAGTTTTCTTTGTGAGATGAGGAAATTCTTTAAGAGTTTGCGTTTGCCCGGCACAAAGATTTCAATTAACAACTGTCAAATTGGGTACAATTTCCAGTATCAAAACCAAACCCAACCAAACTAAAACAAAAACCTTAAGAAATGATTAATCACACTTTGGGAAACACAAACATGATGAATATGTAGCTCCCATTACATGAAATAAATCCAGAAAAGAAAACCAAGACTTACCCTAACCTAACATGCTGACCGCGAGGGGCCTAGCATCCTGAGAAGTGTCTTGGATTTGCGTGGCTGGAAACTGTACTTGCTCTGTAGGAAGAGCTCAGGCCTGCAGCTGCAGGAGCTGGACCTCAGCCCCACAATATGTCCATGGAAGTGCACTGAAGAGGCAGCTCACAGGAATGTACAGGGCTATTCAGAACTTTCCATCAGGAGCTCTCCAAGAGGAGAGCACTGGGCTAGGCTTATCTCTTATGTGGCACATTTTTTTTCTTTTTTTTTAAGACAAGCCTGGCCTTGAGCTCACTATAGAGCCCAGGCTGTCTTGCAATAGAGGCAAGTTCAGCCTCAGCCTCTAGAGTAGTGGGATTATAGTTGTGCACCACCACACTCTACATGACACATATTTGAATGCATTTTTCAAAATACTTCAGATCAATGGTTTTCAAATGATATTAAATTCACACAGGAATTAATGAGGGGTCTCAGATCACAGGTTTCCTTCCACTCCTTAGGCGAGTGATCAATGAACTAGACCAAAATATTTGTTTTTTCTCTGGTCAGTGCCTTCAGGTTTGGAATAGGATAAACTAAGAATAATCTAGGCCAGGTTCTCCAGATCCCAGGTCACAGACTAGTATTGGCGGGGTGGGGATATTAGAAACAGGACCATGGTATGAGGTGAGTGGTGGCTGGGTAAGCAAAGTTTCATCTGTGGTTACAGCCGCCCGTATTACCTCCTAAGTGGCCCTGCTATCTGATCACTGGCAATGGAGTCTCAGAGAAGCACAAGCCCTACTATGAACTGCACACAGAGGAATCTAGGTCCATGCTCTTTATAAAAATCTAATGTAATAGTTGAATCATTTATGAATTAGAACAGAAATAATGTGCACAATAAAAATTAATGTGCTTGAATCATTCCATTCGTTCCCACCCCAAGAAAAACTATCTTTCACAAAACAGTTCCCCAGTGCCAAAAAGGTTGGGGAACCACTGATCTAGGATATATACATGTCTTCCCTTCATGTAAGAGGATAATTTAAGTATCATGTATGTTTCAAATACCTTTCACATGAGAACCTAGAATTTTAAAATGGTGAACTCTCTAACTGCAGATGTAAAAGACGTATTTCACCATCACAGGGCAAGTGATCAGCCAAGTGAGGTGACAGGAAGGTGGAAGACACATGTTTCGATTCCCACCTGTCCCATCAGTGTTCACACGTACCTGTCACAGCACTTTGTTTGGAGCCAGGCTTGGCGTGGATGGCTATGGTGACACAGCCTTTGGCATCAACTGCCACAGGACCTAATGGAAGAGGTACTCTCTCTGGTTCTTTGCTCTGATTTTTACCCTAAAATGAAAACAACCACACAACTTTACATGGGTTACAAAGTCTTTCTACATACTTAATATGATCTTCCCACTATGCCCCTTCATCTTGATCAAAGGCTGTTCCCATACCACTCACAATTCATCAATCACGAGGCCTTCCCATCAGCCTCACAAAATGCTTTTCCCTGCCTCAAAAAGACCCGACTCTGGTTTCCATGCTTGAGTCATCCACTTTGTACTTACCATTCCTCAAAAGCAAGGGTTCGTTATTATTTACTGCTCCCCATACTGTTACATCCCTCGCCCCGCCCCTCCTTTTAATTTTTAAATTTGAGAATATCTCACTAGTTTGTCCCTGCTGAGCTTGAACCGGGATTCTCCCATCAGTCCCCCAGTGTTGGAGCACTGGCATATGTCCCCTGCCTCTCTCCTGGTTTATTATCTTTGTATATGTTGCGGAGCATATGCGGCGGGGCTGAAGGGACAACAGTGACTGATATTTAAGGTCGAGCCAGGAACTTCTTCATTCACTCAACAAGTAACCAAGTGCCAGCGCAGTGGCCGGCGTGCGGATCCCGGGGGATGAGTAGGACCCGTGGTCCCAGGACAGTAGTGAAGGAGAGGGCTGACGAACCCCACACAGCACGCGGTGCGGGGCCCCCATGAGCCCCGGAAGGCCCAGGCGGCTCCGGCGGGAAGCGCAGGCCCGAACTGGGGCGCGCTGGAGTCGGCCTCGCAGGACGGGGACTAGCGTGATTCCGGGGTACGGTAGCGCGGCCCGGCGAGGGGCGGAGAGGACCAAACCCCGCGACGCGCTACCTGAGAGCCCGCGTCTCCTTCGCGCCCCGGAACTGGCCCTGCGGCCCACCTTCTCGGCACCGCGGGACTCGCCCCTCGCCTTGCTTGCCGCACCAGCTTTCTTAGGCATCTTAGCGCCGAGAGGTAGTCGCACCAAACCCCGAGCACCTGGCCCCTCCCTAAGGTGCCTCAGCCCTCTCCAGAGACTCAGCATCCCCGCCCAAGCGGCGACGGAAGCCGCCTCTGCGCCTGCGCACGCAGGGGTCGGGCGCTGCCCTACGTCTCGCGCATGCGTTGTTACCCGAGATCGCAGTAGCGCACCTAGCGAGTGCAAAGCTGGTTTCCCAACCTATAGACAAAGGATGGGAAGAGAGGCAGCACGCTCACAGGGTCAGTGTTCTGTCACTTCTGAACAGGCCCGCAGGCCGACAGAGCCCACAGATGCACCCAGCTCCCCAGCCGCAGGCCCTCCCTGATCACCTCCGTTCATCACCAGCTTTGTGCCTAACGCCGAGGGTGCCACAATGTGGAAGAGCAATATATACTGTGATATGTGACATGGCAGCCTGTGAAACTGGGGGAGTGAACAAAGGTGAGATATGGAGTCATGGAGGAGCAGTGTGAGAGTCTGAAGTGAATTCAGTTTTAGACATATGATGATTAGAAGCTTGAAGTAGGTCTACTAAGGAGAAAACTGAATGTATATAACCCAATCTTGAGAAATCTGGGCTGGTAATAGAGATTCTGGAGTCCTCTTAGAAATGGAAATCAAAGTCATGGATGACCCAGGAGCTCAGTGTTTGGAACAGATGAATGCACCCTAAGGGCAAGAATAAAAATCACCAGAGGACACTGGCCAAGGTTAGATACAGTGTGACAGCAGCTAAGGGAGGGTCCTTTAAGAGCGAGTCTTCTGGAGTGGTGAGGGTGACAGACAGGGCAAGGGAAATAAAGCCTGCCATGTCCACAGGATTTAGAGTGAGAAATGGAAGTAAGTGCAGAGAATAAAGTGACTGATGTTTGGAAGGGGCAGAGGAGACTGGGAGAGTGGTATTTTTTGTTTGGTTCGGAGAGTTTTGTTTTGTCTTGTCTTTTTGAGACAGGGGCTCACTATGCAGTTCAGACTGGCCTTGGGCTCACTTTGTAGCCCAGGCTGGTCTCAAATTTTCAGCAATCCTCCCGCCTCAGCCTCCTGAATATTGGGATTACAGGAGTGTGCCGCCATGCCCGGCAGAAGAGTATTCTCCTTCTTCTTCTTCTTCTTTTTTTTTTTTGATCCTGGGGATCGAACTCACGGCTGCGCACTTGCAAGGCAGGCGCTTATGCCGGCGAGCTAAATCCCCAGCCTCAGAAGAATATTCTTAAACGGGATGAGTGTTAACAGTTTTTGAAAGTTGAAAGGAATGAACCAGAAGTTACACCCACGATTCTTGAGTTGGGGGATATGAACTAGCTGAGAGAAGTTGAGATCCTCACGTAAGGTTAGTGGAAGAAGCTGGAATTTCTTTCATTAGCTAAGAATGGGGAGGTGTTGATGGTGTGGAGGGACAGTGTGATCAGGAATACATCTCCTCTTGGACAGTTGCCACACTTAAGAAATACAGAGGGGACTGTGGAGCAACGGAAGCACCTCAGAAATCCACAGGCCACAGTTACACAAAGCTTTAACTGTGTACTCAGTGACACAGAAACTGGAAACAGCTGAACTACAGCCATAGGGCAGACACCCTTGACTAACCCTGTCCAGCAGGAAAGGCGAAACAGGATTCAGTATTCACACACAGAGACAATGAGTGCGAAAACAAAATGGAACTTGGTAATGACTCACTATCCTTCTCCCTTATCTAGTGGATTACAGTACTGCAGACCCTGGAAACCACACATTGAAAAATACAGAGGAATATTTTTTGAATTTCTCACTTTTTCTTTCTTCTTTTATTACATTTACCTAATTCTACTAATTTTCTTTTATTCCTTATTAGGATCCTTTATCTGACATTTCTCTCATGTTCCTTTTATTTTTCAAATGTTACTTCATTTTCTTTTCCCCACTCCTCCATCCTTAATAATATTACTAGTAAGATTTATTAATCTTCAGATATTTAGTTGATGCTATGCTATTGTTGAATTCTTTGCTGTTGTTAATGGTGGTATAGTTGTTGCATTTGATACATGCTGTATGTCAACACCTGGTTTGTCTATCCATATAGATCTCTTTTCTGTGGTTAAGGTATTGCTGTGCTAGATTCATTAGGCAAAACAAAGAAGTATCACTGTGGAACCAAACCTTTGAACAAAATGGCCTTAATAAGTATTTATAGTGTTTACCCAACAGAGAATAAAGCAGCACATGAAGCTTTCTCCAAAACAGGTGACAAACTAGTCTTTAAAGCATGCTAACATAAATGCAAATGAATCAGAATTGTTCCATGAATATTTTCAGATTATTATGCAATGAAACCAGAAATCAGTAGCCAAAAATATTCCACAGAAATTATGCAAACACATACAAATTAAATATATTATTAAATAATCAATGGGTCACAGAAGAAATCAAGTAAGAAATTAGTTCCTAGACTCGCATAATGCCAGTACATATCAGAACCTATGGGACATAATAAAAGCAGTCCAAATAGAGAAGTTTATAGCTATGAGTGCCCACATCAGAAAAACAGCAAGCCCAAATAAACAACCTAATGATATACCTTAAGGTCTTAGAAAAAGAACAATCCAAATAGCTAGTACAAGGAAGGAAATTATAAAGACCACAATTATAAAGACCAAAACTTTGTAATTGAGACTAATAATGAACAGCTGGGTTTTTGAACGAATAAACAAAATAGACAAAATTCTTAGCTAATCTTAGCTAACCCTCCCCAAATGCAAAGATGCATGTCGATGCAATCAGAAATGAAAAAAGACAAAATCACAGCAGATGCTCAAATCCAGATTATTAGCAACTACTTTGAAAACCTATATTCCAATGAATGAAGAATCCAGGAGAAATGGAGATTCCTGTATCCAAACTGAGCCAAAATGATATAAGGTCCCTGAATAATCCAGTAACAGTAATGAATTTAAGACATTAAAGACACCACCACCACCACCAACAAAACCCTACCAACAAAAGCCGAGGACCCAATGAATTCACTACTGACTTCTACAAGGACTTCAGGGGATATCTAACACCAATACTTCTCAAACTAGTGAAACTGAGAGGGACTACTGTCAAACTCATTCCTGGAAGCTGGCATTACCTTGATTCCAAAACCAGACAAGAACTCAACTAAAAAACTACCAATTTCTCAATGAACATAGATGCCAAACTCGTAGGAAGATACTGGCATGCTGAATGCAAAAAATCATTGAAAAGATCACGTATCATGACCCAAGTAAGTTTCATTTCAGGGATTTAAGAATGACTCAACATAAGGAAACCAATAAATGTAAAATACCACATAACAGAACCAAGGGCAAAAATCACATAATGTCAACAGATGCAAAGAAAGCTTTTGAGAAACTCAACACCCATTCATGATTAAAACCCTTGAAAATAGTTACAGAGGGCCTTATCTCAAGCTGATAGAAACCATTTAAGACAAACCAGTGATCAACATGGTATTAAATGAGAAGCTGAATTTTTCCCTCTAAAATCAGGAAGGAGACAAGGATGTCCTCCATCACCATCCCTGTTCAATATAGTGCAGATACTCCTCATTTAACAACCTACCTGTTTAACAGCTCATCAGATCTATGACCAAGGCAGACTATTTGGACTTAGGACCAGCCACTTAGACTTCTGACCCATCTTTTGAAGGTGCAGGGTCTCACTATGCAGTTCAAAGTGGCCTTGAGCTCACTTTGTAGCCCAGGTTGGTTTTGACCTCGGAAGTCCTGTGCCTCAGCTTCCCCAGTGCTGGGATTATAGGCATAGACCACCATGGCTGATGTCCAATCCACTTTTTTTACTCAGTGCTTTAATTTTTGCTGATTGTGTGTGCTGTACGATACTGTCATTCTATGTTGTTATACATTATAGAACTGCATGCTGCATGTAAATTATGCAAGTCAAAGCTAGGTCATCAAGTTGAAGTTTCCTTTGACCATTTCTTTGTTCTGAATATTGTAATGTACACATTATATACGATTCCTCATTTAGCAACCAACTCATTTACTGACCCTATCACAGGAACCGTAACTTGTTAAACAAGAAATATCTGTACTCAAAACATTGGAGTAACCAGGCCCTCCACAAAGGGATAAATATAAGAAAGGAATCATTATTTGCAGATGACAGGATCCTTTACATAGAAAATCAAAACATTCTATCAAAAGACTCCTAAATAAGCAAATTTAGCAATGTAGCAGGATACAAAAATCAACACACAAAAAGCAATAGCATTCTTTATTGTAATAATGTGCTCACCACAAATGAGGATAACACTACCATTCACAATAGCATCAAGAAAAATTGAACCTAGGAATTAACCTAACCACGAAAGTGAAACAGGGGCTGGGGATTTAGCTCAGCGGCACAAGCGCCTGCCTTGCAAGCAGGCAGTCGTGAGTTCGATCCCTGGTACCGATAAAAAGGAAAAAGACAAAAAAAAAAAAAAAAAAGTGAAACAAAACTACAGTATTCTGAAGGAGGTAGGAAAAAGATATCATAAAATGAAAGGGTATCTCTGCTCCTGGATAGGTAGAACCAACATTGTCAAAATGGTCATACTTCCAAAACTGATACACCAATCAAAATACCAACAGCACTCCTCATTGAACAAGAAAAAAAATCCCAAAATTCATATGGAACCAGGAGACCCAGAATAGCAAAAGCAGTCCTAGCCAAGAGCAAAACAGGAGGCATCACAAAAGCTCAGATTTCAAGTTATATTATAAAGCTACGGTGATAAAAACAGCATGGTACAAAAATAGACGTGGATCAATGGAACAGAATATGGGATTCAGGAATAATTTCAGATTCATTCAACTATCTGATTCTTGATGGAGCAAAAAACATACTGACATTGAGTTTATTCTCATTTCTCACGGTGCTGTGTTAAATGAAAATCAAAATGGATCAAAGAGCTAAGTGTAAAAAAAAAAACCTGGCTGGTAAATAAAATAATTTTCTAAATCATAGGCTTACGCAAATACTTTTTGAACAGAATCCCAATTACACTGAAATAACATCAAGAATCAACAAACAGGATTGTATCAAATCAAAAAGCTGCTGCACAGCAAAAGAAACATCCAACAGAGTAAAAAAGACAACCTACAGATTGGAAAAATTCTGCCAGGTAGTCCTCAGAGGACTAATATCTAGAATAAAGAATTCAAATAGAAATTAGACCCCCTAAATAAAAGATCCAATTGGTAAACTGACAACTGAAATGAATACACTTCTAGGAAGAATAGCCGATAAATACATTTAAAAAATGTCCAATGTCTCTGACCATTAGAGACATGCAAATTGAAACAACAGATTGCATCTTACTCCAGGAAGAAAGGCTGCCATAAAGAAATCAAATGACAACCACTAATGAGGACACAGATGAGGGGAGGAAACATTCTGCATTGTTGATGGGGACATACACTAGTATGACTACTATGGAAATCAGTATAGAGAGTCTTCAAAAACAAAACTAACAAAACAAAATGAAGCAAAATCCACCCAACACAGCTATTCGCCTAAGTATCTTCTCCAGAGTTAAAAATATTGTATTACAATGATCCATGCATATTCATGTTTACAGCAAAACAAATTGTAATAAGTAAATCTTGGAAGTGACTATCCAATAGAATTTTCAAAATGTGTTTATATTCAATGGAATATCACACTGCTATACAGATAAATGAGTCATCTGTAGAGAATGAATGTACTTTGAATGCATGTTAAATCAGTCAGACATATAAGCTTGTATCAAAAGGTTTCTTTTATATGAGAAACCCAAAGTATAATTTTTTAATATGTACTGCCAAAGTGGGCACCAAAGGATAATTTAAAAAGCAAAAAAGTAATAGGAAATACGGAGATTTGTATTGTTCTTTGGTGCCAGAAACTGAATTCAGAACCTTGCACTTGCCAGGCAGGCACTGTACCACTGAGCCGTATCTCTAGCCCCTAGGAAGATCTTTTGCAAAATAAAAGGGGACCAAGAGATTGAGGGAGAGGAGAAGGAAAAGGGATGAAAACAGAATCAAGATGTACCAACTCTCACAATGAGTGTAATCACTATGTACTGGAAAAGTACTAATAAAAATCTTACAAGGTGGGAATGCTGGCACAAACCTGTAATTTCAGCACATAGGAGGCTGAGGCCAGCCTAAACTGCATAACACCTTTTCTCCAGAAATTAAAAAAATTCTATAGCTCCATCCCAGCACATGGGAGGCTGAGGCAGGATAGTCTGCAAGTTTGAGACCAGCCTGGGCTACAAAGTGAGCCCAAAGCCAGCCTGAATAGCATAGTGAGACCCTGTCTCAAAAAGAAAAAAAAAAAAAAACCAACTACAGCTCCAAATGATAAAACATTAATGTGCCTATAAAAATGGTTATGTAATAGTCCTAACGCTGCTGTGTGCCAATGTGTATGAAATACATATGCACACTCGGGTGCACAATAGTCACCCAGGTCACTGCAATCATTAATGAGCAATCGTGAGACAGCTGCAAGACAGCTGCAGCTCCTGTGACTCGCTTTCAGCAGAGGTAATGCATTCTTATTTTGGGTTGTATTAGTTCTGTAAATTAAAAACAAACACCAATTACCTAGAACTTTTGTTCCAAAATGGCATTACATTCAATGTTTAGGAGGACAAATGACAAAACAAATTAATAAAGGATAATATACATTTATTTCTTTAAAATTTCAGGTGATTTCCCAACATTTGTAGTTGTTGCTTGTACGTACCTTCTACTGTTACATTCACTTACAACTAACTGTTCAATGTAACACAGAAAGCATGTGAATTTCCCAAGCCTCAAAATTCCCCACTAACTTATCTCTGGCATACGATACTTTTAAAGGCAGAAGTACTTTTTGGTAATAGTTACTATTCAGTGTTTGCCAGTTAATTTTTAGTTAACCAGAACCACACATCCTATAGGTATTCCCGTAAAGTGAGAGATATCCATAGGACATAAGGTATCCGAGACAGAAAAGTTGTCCCCTTCTTCAAGAGACCTCAACACATCTCACTGCTTTCTTGAAAATGTATAATGAAATAGTACTTTTGACAAAAAACTTTTCCTATTTAGAAAAAAATTCTCCGATATTTAAAAGAATTTTTGTCATCTTCCACAAGTATCTGATATACTTTAAGCTTAATTACACAAGTTTTTTTTTTAAATAACAGTCATTTTCAAGGGCAAAGTTATTTGTATTTTAAAAATCTGCAGTATATAAAAGTGTATAAATGCCATTCTACCATATACACTCCTTACCTCCTAAAATACATGTGCTGGTCACATTCATGAGGTCACAAATATGAAACATATGTTACTTCTTGAATAGAACTGTGTGACAGAAAGTGTATTTTTGGCAGGAGTGATTCTATTGGATAGCTTTATAATTTCAAAGTAGCTGTTAAAAATGTTAGTAATTGTGTTCCGTTTCTTGCTATATAGGATGATCACACACTGAAGCAGTATCTTTAAATGATCATCAGTCACCACCATCAGCTCAGTCTTGGAACTCAGCAGCAGCGCCCCAGACAGGCAGGCAGGTATGGTGACACAGCTGAATGATGAAGAGCCCAGGCTCATGTTATACCATTAGAGACTCTGTATACATCACATTATTGTGAGTTTATACAAAATTCATTTAGAGTTTGAAAACTTATGCTATGTAATGCATTACTATACTATTACAAAACATCCTTTTATGTATATGCACTGAAAATTTTCTTGGGCATTTATTAGGCCTGTGTTTTAGCATTATTCCAAATGTTAGCAAGCAGATATTTTAAAATTTTAAATATAAAGTCAGTTTTCCTAATATTCTGAAATGAGTTATTTGAGTTAATAGGAATTCTGACCCATCTCATCTAACCTTCAAAACTTAAAAGAAACTAAACTCGCTACATACAACAATCTTTCAATTCCAAAACTACTGAAAGACTACGAGTCAGCTGATCTAAGAAATGACACAGGAGACAGCTGAAACATCTGCATTTTTTAATACAATTAAACCCACCTCTCTTTTCTCCCAACGTGACAAAAAAGTGGAAAATTTGCCATTAAGTCACACAGAGATTTAAATAAACATTTTTCTAGTTCTCCTAAGAAACTAAAATGTTTCTTATCTTACAATCATAAATATTCCTGACACTCAAACTATTTTTCTTGTGGCCAGTTCTTTATATGTTTGAGTCTAGACTGTGTGGTAGGTACTCTTTAGCCAAGATGTATTACAACATTATGTATAAAATATTATTTCTGGTATTTGTCCATCCTCTATTGAAGTGCCATTATTATTGCCCGGGGAACTAAAAAAGAAGAAAACCGTCTTGCTGGCAGCAGGTGTCTCATGGACAACTTTCTTCAGTCCTTTTGTCCCATAGTGGGAATCTGGCCCCTAAAGAGAAACAAAAGTTCATTAGCAGTTTTCATTTATTAAGCATTCAAGTTAATGTGGTGTAATTAGATTAAAAGTCTATTACCTTCATTGCAGCTCTATACAAAATTGTGTGTTCAACCATCTAGTGAAAAATGAAATTTTTGCTAAGGAGCTAATGAATAAAATATAGGATGCAGAACTCAGCCATTAGAGAATACTGAAAAAGTTTTAAGGAAATAGTTATCATATAAACACTCAATGTACTACCTGAACAAAAGGCCCTTCTGCAAAACTTTTCACAGCAGAGCAGTACTGAGAGGCACTGCTTTTCTTTTTTTTTTTTTTTTTTCTTTATCCCCAGCCCCCTTGCACTGCTTTTCTTAAAGCAGCCTCCTCCCCCTTTTTCTAAAAAATTGCACTACAAGTGGCTTATATGCTTCTAAAACATGTTTGTGTGACACTCAAGGGGAAACCATAGCCGGGGCATGGTGGCACACTCCTATGATCCTACCCCCGAGAGAGGTTGAGGTAGGAAGATCACAAGCCCAGCCTGATTAACTTAGTGGCATAGTGTGTAACCCTGTCTCAAAAAAAAATAAAATAAAATAAAAATTAAAAAATTAAAAAAATATATATATAAAAGGCTGAGGATGTAAATTAATTCCCAGCACATGCGCGCGCGCACACACACACACGAAAAGGAAACCATGGGCCCAGTGTGCAGAGTCCTGGGACACGCTGGATGCCTTACTTTGAGTGTTGCACATGCTGTGTAGCACACGTTGGGCAGGATCTCTATAGGTTCCTTAAACATGACTCTGAATGTGTTAGCAGTCCCATCACAACTAAATCCGGTATCATTTTGTCCCAAGGTCTGTTTTTTTTCATATTCGATGATCTGTAATTTTTAAAAGAGAAGATACATTTTAAGTTAAAGCAATTGAAATAAATTTCTGCAGAGAAGGATATGAAGTCCTTAGCAAAGTAGACTACTAAACCTCTCATTTTTCTCTTCTTATTTCTAAGTACCAAAGATAACTACAGGAATGCTGCCAGAAAATGGCCATGTCTCATTTGTCACAGTGGGGGTGGAGAGGATGTCAAGAACCGGGGCTCAGGTGCAGAGAGGGGAGCTGCTATGGCACAGATTCCAGGATGGGCACATTTCTCACATCTAAGGGAAGTGGGCCCTTCCTCCTTGCTAGCCTATGTCTGGATGCTAGGAAAAGTCTCTGAACATTTCTTGTGCTTCAATATTACCTACTGCAATTATAAATGTGCTTAAAGCAGTATGTTTATACTTGTTCAAAATGTACAGATTGTCTTTTTGCTTTCGTTCTCATCCTGTGCCCAACACTGAGTAAGCACCTGAGCCTTCAGGAGTTTCTGGACACTTCCATTCTGGGCTAATGGAAGTTGACATGGAAGAAAAGGGTCACTAAATGACACAGCTGCTAGAACACTAGTTTTGTCATCTTTCCCAATGGGGCCCAGAGCTAGTGTTAGTGGATGTGGCTTCCCAAAGCTTCCCAAATCTTCAAGGCCAGTGTGTCTACCCGGCTAGAATATGAGACTTTAGCACTCTCATCTAACACTGGGGACTGAGCCACAACTGTGTCCTTTAAGCATAAGGAAAAGTGTCTCTCCAGAAACACGCAGATGGAGACAAGGAACTTTGACAACAAAAGACTATCCCAACAATGCCCAACCTGCTAGCTTGGCTTTCTCGATCTCATTTCTGTGGGGTAAGGACCCAGGCAGGCATTATGGAAAAGCCTCCTAAAGGGATCTACCATATACTCCTATTTTAGCTTAGGGCTGGCTTTCTATAGCCTGCATGGTGCTGGTGATTCTAAAGATGTCACATTACCTTAAAAATGGAGCTTGGGGGTGTGGGGATTTAGCTCAGCAGCATAAGTGCTTGCCCTGCAAGCAGGCAGTTGTGAGTTCGATCCCCAGTACTGATAAAAAGGAAAAAGACAAAAAAAAAAAAAAAAAAAAAAAAAGGAGCTTGGAGAGATTTCACAGAAAAACCTTCACTTCTGGCTTCTTGAACATCCTTAGGCTCCTATTATCACACAGTAACTCTGATAAGAGCTACAGAGTGGTTACCCTTTAAATATCCCATGCTCCATAGCTGCTTTCCCCCCATCCTCACTGTCTCTCTACCCAAGGCCCCTGGTCTCTACTTAAACTGTCTGCCCACACCCTGGCCAGCATTCGAGTTGGCCACTTTGGACACAAGGGAACAGGTGGTGGTGACAGACAGCATCTCTGGAATAGGCATGAGACTGGCTGTGGGGAAGGAAATGAAGAGAGCTCTGCTGCTCACTTTGCTTACAGTATTTAGACTTCATGAATTTGTTTTTGGCCATACTTCAGACTGAGCTACATCTCAGACCTTTAAAATTTTTTTTTACTTTTATTTTGAGACAGGCTCCACTTAACACATTCCTTAACTTGTGATCTTCCTGCTTCACCTTAGCAGAACGCTCATTTTAGAGGCATGCACCACAATACCCGGCTGACATTATTATTTTAATCTACCTTTAACCCTGCTGCTCTCCCCCAGTTTGTGCACAAGATGTGAGGTCTCTTCTGTGATACATAACAGACACTGAAGGAAGAATGGAGTTCCATCACCATAGAGACTCCCAGCAAGGTTCTAGCCCCTAGCAGGTCCGAAAAGTGTATGAAGTACATAAAATATAATAGGAACAGATTGTGAGACTCTTTGCCTTCTGAGGTTTCTGTGTACCTAAAAACCATTGAATATTCTTTTTTGCATGGTACTAGAGATTAAACCCAGACCCAAGCTACATTCTTCAGCCCCTCCCTCCACCTTTTATTTTGAACGTAGTTCTAATAGGAACTGCATCAACTTGAGAAGTTTAGAAGATTAACTAATTCAGCAGCTGTACATCCTAGAGTATAGAGAACATGCCCTAGGGAGTTGTCAATCTGAGAAGTTTAGAAGTTTAACTGACTCAGCAAAGGGCCAGGGTGTCCTCACTTGGTAAACATCCTAAGCCTGTGGCAAGAGGGTCTGGGGATGGCGTGAGTGCCACAGCAGGGCAGGTAGCCTGCTTCCAATATAAGGGAGGGAAACAGGCTTGTTTCTCCAGCTCTTATGCTCTTGGTGCTTTTATTTTATTGTCTTCCACCACCAGTCCCTCTGCCACGCCACCCTGCCTTGGAGCCAGCTGATTATGGACTGAAACCTTCACAAAGTGAGCTAAATCAACCTTTTCTTCCTTAATTTCAATGTTGGATATTCTGTCCCAGCAACTAGAGAAAAGTAACTAATACAACAGCTGCCCAAGTTGGGCTCAAACTTGCAATTCTCCTGCCTCAGCCTCTTAGAGTGGTCAGATTCTAGGTGTGCATCACCACACCTAGCTTAGTTTTGAACCTGTTCATAAATCTTTTTTTTTTTTTTTTTTGTCTTTTTCTTTTTTACCGGTACCAGGGATTGCACTCACGACCAGACACGTGCAAAGCAGGCACTTATGCCGCTGAGCTAAATCCCCAGCCCCTGTTCATAAATCTTTCAAGTAAGTAATTTCAGGTGGATTAAAAACCTATCAGTAATATTTACAATGGAACTTTCCAAGTGGTTTATAAGAACAACCAACTGGCATGAATGACGCCGATCTATCACCTGAATCTCACTATAAACCTCAGTGGAAGGGTCAGAGAATGAGCAAAGTACTCTTGTCAGTGATACAATTCGTCCATGGGAAGCAAGGTCTCTCCTGAGACGGTGAGGTACCATTTTTAACTATCATCAACCCAGATCTCTGAATTGATATATTCACAAAGTATAAAACTAGTATTTTAGCATATTCCTACCATGCATGACTGTCCCACCAGGTGGCACATGCAGGAATCACTAGTGGATCAGAGCTTTACTATTAAACATGATATACTTAGTAACATTTTAGAGGGCAGGGTTTTTTGTTTTGTTTGATAAACTAAAATCTTAATCATTTATTTCCTTTTCTCATATTATTCATGTTTAAATTTATGTATAGAAGATATTTACAATATCTCATATAGTTTGTAAATAAAAATACAATATAGATACCACCTTAATACCAAATCCCTAGGCTTAAACTGCTACTAATAGCCTCATCCCACTGACAATTATACTGAAATGTGTATTTCTTTCTTTCTTTTTTTTTTTTTTTTTTTTGTCTTTTTTGAGATGGGGTCTCGCTATGCAGTTCAGGCAGGCTTTGAGCTCACCTTGTAGCCCAGGCTGGTCTCGAACTTGGAACAATCCTCCTACCTCAGCCTCCCAAGTGCTGGGATTACAGGCATGAGCTTCCACGCCCGGCTTGAAATGTGGATTTCTATCAAGACAGTATTTTATTGTAGTTTTGTACATTTTTTTATAAATAATGGAAGAAAAAGTATACCTGTATATTCACTTGATAATCTGTGGGACCATGGATAGATCCGTACAAGCCAAACCCAACTATGGAGATTCTTCTATTAACTGTGAACCTGAGAGAAGAAGTAAAAAATAAAACAACAAATAATCCACGAGTGTTCAAATCCTACAGGTTTGTAATTTTACAAAGTATTACCTGGATCCAATTTTGCTTATAAAAAAAAGGAAAACTATCATAGATCAAACAGACATCCTTAGAAATATCATCTTGTGTGCTTACAAAAACCTTGCTTTCTATAGTAAATGTGAAGTTAACAGGAGTTTAAGTTCTGTAATATAAAAGGAATTTAAACTAAATGCCCATTTTTTTGTTGTGTTTTGATTTTTCTAGTACTAGAGATGGATCCAGGGTCTCACACACGTCAGGCAACACTCTATGCACTTCTGCTGCCATGATAACTGTAGTGCTATTACTAGTCCAGACACGTTTGCGTATCTCTTTCCAGGACAGAGCCGTGTCAATTATTAGAACTGAAGCCTACCGTAACAAACCAGGACAATTCGTAAGTTCAACAAATACTTACTGAGGACCTATCATGTTTAGGGTCTTGCACTGGGAAACTAATGGTCAACAAGACAGTTTTTATTCCTAGTGAGCAGTTTAGCCTAACAGCAAACTCTGATAAGAAACAAAAAAGGATAAATAATAATTGTGATAAGAGCTGTGGAAAACAGAGACTGCTGTAACAAACAGTCCTGATGAAAAGAGGGCCAGGGACCCTAACTCATACACTTAAACTCAACTAAGGATTACATAAGAAGAGTAATTAGCACGTCCAGTTTGGTCATAGCTAAGAAAGTGATCTATCTTACTCCATTTTATAAATGTATAAAACTGACATTAAACACATCTATGGAACTGAAAGACTATATAACAAATAACCTGTGACGCAAGACAAGTGAGTCTCAATGTTTTTAGCCATAGTTTCAATATTTTTGCTACTACGAGCATACCACCACCACTTAATGACTACTTCCCAAAGTGCCAAGCCTGCGCTTCAGCTCTTAGATGAATCGTTTCTTTAATCATTGCAGCAGCCTATAAAGTAGTTAACTATATACTACTTTTATTATCCTAAGGTTTTTATAGCTGAAGAAACAGGTCTTAGCTGGGTGTGACGGTGCGTGCCTGTGGTCCTAACCACTCGGAAAGCTGAGGTGAAAGGTTCACTTGCACCTACACATTTGGGACCTACCTGAGGCTACACAGTGACACTATGACAAGGGTGGAGGGGAGGAAGAGAGACAGAAGGGCAGCGGAGTAGAAAGAGGAGAAGGAGAAGAGGAAGAGAAAAAGTAGAGAAAGTAGAAAAAATAAAATGTTTAGAATAATAAACTGGCCCCAGTCAGAAAGTGTGGGAGGGTTGGGACACGACTTTAGGTTTCTTTGGATCAAAGGCCCATGTTCTTTAACCCCCATCCTACACACTTACTTGCAATAATGGGGCCTATGTTAAAATTTTGCTAATATTTATAATCCCTTATTATATAAATAATATACTATCTTTAAAAAGCAGAACATGAACTAAGGCTGTATTCAGTGGTACAGTATGCATTTAGCAGTCTAGACCTGGGTTTAACCCCTAGCACCCAAACAAAACAAAACATCCCAGAACACACAACTAAACAAATGACAAGTATAAAGTATTCACAAATCCAGTTATTCTTATTGATCTTTTGCATTATTTTTCTATGAAGATATATGTACACTATTAAAAGTCATAACAGTATATATACATATAATATACATATATACTGATCACTATACCTAACCCACCCCTTGTGGGATAATCTAGGGTATTTGTAGGGTGTTTCTTTTTTGGAACCAGGATCTCACCCTGTAGTTTGTGCTATCTTGTACTCAATATGTAGCCTAGACAGACCTCCAACTTAGCGACCCTTCAGCCTCAGCCTCCTGAGTGCTGGCTTGACAAATGTGCACCATCCTCCTTGGGTTGTTTTGCAGTTTTTGTATGATAATGCCATGGTTTAGAATGAAGTCATTTTCTTTCAGTAAATTTCTATTAGCAGAACTATTTATAAAAATGAAAGGAACACTAACAGCTTTAGGCAGACTTGTCAAGTTACTTCCTCGAAAGATTAACATGCCCTGTTCATACAGATCTGACAGTGTGTAATGTCACATGCCCGCAGGAGTAGTCCTGTAAATTCCAAGTTAGCCTAAGCCTAAGGTAGCTGAATTCAAGGCCAGCCTGGAATTGTGAGACCTTGTCACAAAAACTTGGGGGGGGGGGGGGAATGGATGATGATGATGATATGGGGATTATGAGTACAGATCAATTTTGTCTCACTCAATAATGAGTATTTTAATTTCCTTTTGCTTTTCAGAAAGAGGTAACTGAAAAATTCCATTTATATTTATCAACGAGGTAAATAAAACATATGCTCATATGCTCACTGCCCACTGGATTTTCTCATTAATCAAATATCCATCAGGTTCTTTTCTCAACTGGTGAGTTTTTTTTAATGTAGCTTTGAAAGACTATGTTGTATACAGATGATGGTTACTTACTGTGTGTTGTTTGTACCTGTTACAATTTTAAATTTATCACCTATCTTTAACTTTATGGTGATTCTGAATGTAACACCTTTCAATTATATGTAGCTAAATCATGATCCATGCCAAGCTTAGTGAGGCCTACCTCTTTCTCAGAATAAACATTCACTTGTTTCAGATTCGTAGTTTTAATTTGTATCAACTCTGGTATATAGGATCAGTAAGGCTCTAGCTTTATTTTCTCAGTAGTTAACCCTTCCCTAACTGTAATCATGTTCTGGTGCTCATTTATGTTAAACTGGTTTCTAACCTCTACAGTTAATAGGTTTTCAGGTTTCATCTCTTATCACTTTATCTCTTTTGAGGCTGCCCTCAAAGTTTCAAATCTCCTGCCTCAGCTTCCTAAGTAGCTGGGGTTACACACATGAGCCACTTCACTGAACTGCGTACCACTCTTCCTTTATAGTGCTACCAAGGCCTGGCATACTCTAGGGAAGTGTTTTACCACTGTGCTGCCTGCCAGCCCAGTACCACTCTTTTAAAAAGAGAATTTACTCTTCTGTATTAACTCCAAAGTAACATTTTCAAGCCACCCCTCTCTACCAAAAACTTTGCCAAGACTTTGGAAAGAAAGTGATGAACACACATAGGTAGTTAGGGAGATACCATCCTTACCAAAGTCTGTTCCAGCTGGAGCTCTCCAGTCCATCCTAAAGCCACTTGCTATACAATTCCATTTAATCCTATTGCTTTGTCACCTGTCATACTGTGAATGGCTTCTTCATGATACCGGAGTAACACTCAAATGTAATACTATGTTCTACTACTATGATAATATAGCAAGATGACATATTAAAATGCTATATAATAGTCACTCTATGTTATACCAAACATTTTACATTTAAAGTTTATTTATGTGTGTGTTATATACCATTTTAACCATTTCTAAGTTTAAGTGCAAATGCATTAAACACATTCACATCATTGTGCAAATGTAACCACTATTTACGCCTGAAATTGAATTCTGATAGCAAACCAAGACAACAATTCTCGAGTATACTTTATGGAAGTGTGGACTATTCTCCTCAATAGCTTTTTGAGCTGACTCCGAGGTTTAATTAGGTGAACTAACTGTTCCCAAAGGCACTCCACCACCAGGGAGAATGTTCCATCCTCACAAAGGTTCAGGAGCACTGCTGGGCAGCAGCCAGAGATAGGTTCCCTATAGTCACAGAACAGTCTCCCATAGCAATCTTGACCAGCTGTCAGACTGTCATGCCAGACTCATGTAGGAGGAAACTGACTTCAGTACAGATTAAAAACATTTTAATGCAATTTAAATGCTGATTTTTTTTTTATGTAAGAGGCAACTACCACATAGATAAAGTATTCTATAGTCACTTCTATAAGCAGCTGCTTACAGAGAATTAGCAAATACAGTTACTACTACTGGGGAAAAAAAGACATACATATGCAGGCATGTACCATAAATGTGTACGCCCACACACACCTCACATAGAGTATAAACAAATTCTAAAAGCAACATGTTCTGGTAGATTCTATTTGCTTTATTTTATAAAAGGAACAGGAATTCAGCAGTAACCTCAAATGTCTTGCCTAGGCTGCCCCACCAACAGGTGTCACAGATGACCAGAGTTCCCTGCCACATCAGTACCAACACCACTGCCAGGCTGCCCCCACTTCCTCCATCTCTGTAGCAGAGCTGGAACAAGGCAGCGCCTCCACTGGTGGATGGCAACTAAAGTCACTGGCTGAAAGGGACGAAGAAAGGCCCTGCATACTGATTTTAAGGTTACAGATAAATTCTAGCCAGCAGGCAAGTTCACAAATACAACAACATGAATAAACAGAATTGATTCAACTGTTTCACCTGGAAACACTCACATAACATGCTTGTACCCTGCAGTCAAAGCTGCCTCGTCCTACTGACGCATACAGCTACTGTATCAGGCCACTTCAGTTTATGCTCTAGTTCTATCATGCTTAACATCTACACACTGAAGTATGTACTTATATACTTGTACCATCAGTTACACATATTTCTCCTTTAAAACTAGACCATCTGCCAAATAAAAATGTATTGTAAAAAAGAGCAAATTGGGTTTGATGAATTGGGCAATACTAATGTACATACCACCTGTGAATAATGAAAAAAGGCCTCTTCCAATATTTAAGGCTCTAATTCCTTTATTTTTTTATGACTATCAATGAGAACTATAGTAACACTGTTGCAAAACAAAGAGGCATCCCTAACTTGAGGTTTCAAAGACTATCATATTAAAGATTTTAATCTACTAATAGTTATATCTAGAATAGAGATGAAATTTTATCAAGTCTTCTGATATCTATTGATATCAAGTTGATTTTGTCTATTTTTTAACGGTGAGCCATTTTTTCAACCTATAAATAAACTATTTGCTCACATAGTAGTAATCTCCTCTGGTACTGCTACTTTCAATGTGCCAACATTTAATGTTGAATTTTTCCTTTATAATGTAAATGAAGCTGATTTTTTGTCTTGTTAGACTCTGATATAAAGATTATGCATCCTTCAATAACTAAGAATTATTTTCTTCTTTTAATGTTGAAGGAAACCGTATGTTCCTTGAATGTTTGATTAAAACTCACCTGTACAAACCACCTGGCGAAGGGACAGTTCTTTGATAACTTTTAATTCCTTCCATGGTAACTGGTCTATTCAGGCTTTCTTCTTCAGTCAATTTTGATAATTTATATTTGCCTATAAAATGATCCATTCCATCAAGATGTTCAATTTATTAACACAGAGTAAACCCAGAATTAAACTCTCAGCATATGCTTATATTCCCATTTGGATTTCTAAATGTGAACTTTTTTATTATACTTGCCAGAAGTTTATTCTAGTAATCTTTTTAAGGAACTGCTTATAGATCTGTCAGTTTTACTATTTTTAATCCACTCATTTTTGTAATTACCTATTTTCTTTCTCTTTCATTAAGTTTCTGGTTCTTTTGCTGTCCACTTCCTAGCTATCGTGATTAAATGCCTAGGTCATTTACTTTTACTCTAATTTGTTTACTAAATTGTTAACTTTCTATGTGTACAGCTTTCCCCTCATTCTGTAAGTTCTCACATACAGTACCCTCACTGTGAATGAGTAACAGTTTAAAAATGCATTTAATGCTCCCACTTTAAGGGCTGAGGGATGTGGCTCAGTGGTAGAGAATTTGCTGGCACTTGCGAGGCCCTTGGTTAAATCTTCAGTTCAGGGTAAGGGGTGGGGTGGGGCTAAAAGTAAACTCTCATTTTAACCCTAGAGTTCATGATAGTCCCCCCATTCAACTTTTGCTCTATTTAACAAAGTTGTTATTAATGACCAGTATTATAAAAGTGCTATTAAATAACTGAAAGTACAAAAGGCATGTTTTATGACAACTAATATTAATTTTATTTTGACATTTAACCTAAAGAAATACAGTATAGCAAAGGTAAAATCTTCAGGAAGGCTGTATGTATGCATATATTTTTCATAGATATTTATTTATTTGTGCTTTTTTTTTTGAGATAGGGTCTCGCTATGTAGTTCAGGCTTGCCTTGAACTCACTATGTAGCCCCAAGTTGGCCTTGAATTTATGCCAGTCCTCCTGTCTCAGCTTCCCAAGTGCTGGAATTAACAGGTGTGCCCCAACATTCCCAGCTATAAATCTTATTTTCCTAAAACTTTTATACATGTATACTGAGATATTTTCCATACAGCACCTTTTCAGAGAAAAAACTTAACATTTAGCTTAGTAAAGTGAAACTGATTAAATTGTCGCTTTAAGCCTGTAAAAGCAGTATTTGATTAGCCAAGACTAGACCCAAATAGATTTCCTGTAACCAAGGGCCCCACCTAATCCTTTTGCCTTACTTCCTAAGACATCACTTTCACAACTTAGTAAAATACGTATTCATGACTTCTTGCCTATTGTATTAAAGATGTATGAAGCAGAAAGAGTGTAAGGTAGATCTTGCTTAGTCGTCTTTCGCAGTCTGAGCAGGATGGTGGGTCAGTGTGGGGACGAGTGCCACCTCTGCCCTCCAGCCCAGCGCAGCCCAGTGGGGACTGGGTCGGACAGCTACCTGATCCGGTCGCTGGTCCCGCTGTAGCCCCAGCGGCTTTCCACCTGCTGGAACCTGTTGATGCAGCACTCCTTGCCCCGCAGGCAACACCGTGGACGGTCGATGTACTCCACACGGGGCTTAGGGTTGACAGTGAAATGAAGAAAGAGGTTCACCACTTCACGATCTGACAAAATGCCAGACTGAGCAGGACCTGCAAAACACAACTATCAGCCTCAGTGAAAGCAAACTGAGTTCAAACTACTATTTCACATAATGAGATAAACTCAAATCTCAAGGATGTAAAAACAAGGAGAAAAATCTTATTTTATTTTTTTGGTACCTGGGATTGTACTCATGACCTTGCGTTACCAGGCAGGTGTTTACTATGCTGAGCTAAAACCCCTGGCCTACAAGGAGAGAAATCTTAGCATATAAAACTTCAGCATGGAAGTGAAATTTCCATAAATCTATTTGAGACTAGCCTAAAAGAATATAAATGTAAAATCATTAGTAAGCCAAAGCTTAGCTAAAACCTGAGTTACAGAGACCTCTCTGGATCTTTGTATCCACTGACGTCCTCTGAGTGTTCAGCAGAGAGGAACCATCTCCTATGATGGAACCACTCACAAATGTGGCCAGAGTTCTCCTAACACGTTCTATGATCCAAGCAACAGAGTATCTTTAGAGAAGGTAACAGATAGGGAATGGTGCTGTAAGCTGCAGAAGCAGGATACTGTGCATACTTTCTCCCCATGCACTATTCCAGAAGACAAAAACACAAACACCTTATATTTATCCACTCTATTTCTCATAAAAGATCCCTTCTAAGGCCAGTAAAAGCAATTAAAGTAAGAGAGTTCAAAACACTAGAAATGTGGTTTAGAAAACTTTATTAATTTTAAAAATTAGATTAAACATTTAAATACAAAATCTATCTCTGTGTTAAATATGGTCCAAGGTTCATTGTTTGCTACCTGTGGATATGGAAACATTATAAAGAAGAAAAAAATATAACCACAAAATGAAAATCTGTATTTGTAAAAAAACCAAAACAAAAAAACAAACAAACAAACAAAAAACCCAAAATAACCCGAAACTACATAAAATCCAAAGAAGACTGAAAACTCATCTTTCTCAGAATACTAAGTACTAGAAAAAAAGAATTAAAATGTTTAAGGTGATTAGCGTGTGATAAAAGGGATGACGAACATGCAGTAACCAGCAGTCCTGAAGGAATGACAGTAATCCAAGCCCAGGATGAAAGAGAATGAATGTCCTCTAGAGTTGAGAAGTCTTTGGTCTACAAAAAAACTGTTACTTACCTGAAAAAAGTAAACAATGTGACTCCAGTCAAAAGTGGGGTGACTCAAAATAAAGCCTTCAGATGGTACGTCACACGAGAGGCTGCACCCAGCACATCATCCGCAAACCACTCAAAACCAAAGGTAATGTGAAACATTTTTTGGGGGGGCGGGGGGCGCGCTATTGGGAATCAAACTGAGGACCCCGTGCTTGCCAGGCAGGCACTGTGCCACTGACCCATACTCCCCAGCCAGGTAATGTCAAATGTAGCTCAAAAGGATACAATGCATTGAAAGAAGCAATAATTACTACTCAGGAGACTGAGATGTGATGGGTATTCAATAAATAACCCAGCTTCCTTTACTCTCTGGATCAGGGATGCTATTAAAATGAGCCAGGCATAGTGGCACACACATGTAATCCAGACCCTCAGGAGGCCAAGACAGAGGCTCAATGCAAGTTTGAGGCAAGCCTGGCAATACAAGGCTGACCTGGACTACACAGTGAGACCCTGTCTCAAAAAAACACAAACATCACCACAATAGCAACAAGATGTTTTAAGCAGACTTTAGTGAAGTTAGTCTTACCTGCTGCAAATTCCTCAATTGTCATCAGTGGGAAGCGGATTAAAGGAAGCGCTTTTCCTAGAACTTTCTGTTTGTTTCCAAAAGTCACTGGCAGTTGTTGTCTCTGACATTCTGCTTCTGCCCAACGTACAACAGCTCCAAAAAGTCGACTTTCTCGAATGCTAAGTGTGTCTCTTTCTAGAACTGCACAGAGTGTGTCTGTAGATACAAAATAAAAATAGATCAAATCAGGAATATTTTGTTCAATGATAGATTAATAATGATAGACCTGCTTGTAGTAAATTTTCAAATCTCAATAAAAAATAGGTTAGATACTTTGTAAAGTGTACACTTCAAAAGACTTAAAATTCCAAAGTGTTTTTAAAAAATTAATGTACCATTAACATTCAATTTCATACCATAAATACAAGCATAAAATATTCCTTTACTTTTTCATGCTACTTTTTAAATAAACTCAAACTTTTACAGTAAGATCAGAGCCCATAAGAAAGTTAATCACACACATTTGTAAAGTCTACCGATTACAACTCTCCATTTGTTCAGCATTATGTGCCAGGTACTATTTTAGGTGCTGTTATCACTGAGCTAAAAGTTAAAGCTTCTTGCTCTCAGGGATCTCACATCCTAATGTGGTAAAACAGACTGACTGATTAAACACAGATTGATTATAATATGCTAGATGATGCAAATGGGTAAAATATCAGGCTGGGGGAGTGAGAAATGCAATCTGAACTGTCAGAAAGTGGCAAGAATGATGGGGTAGGTGTGCTCATCAAAGCAAGGGGGTTATTCTGCGGAGGACTAATGGCAATTAATGCATTTCTCTCTGTAATAAATTATTAACCACTCACTATATTATTTGATCACACAATGTATTCTAAAAGAAGACTCAATGTGATTTTTAATGAGAGCAGTTATGGGGTAAGTTAAAAAGAGTCAAGAGATGACAGCAGCACTGGAGGAGGTAGAATTAACTGAGCCAGGAATGACTACAAGAAGAATCAACGTACTTGGTGGTGAAGGATGTAAGTGTAATTTATAACATATATTTGAAAGCCCTCTATGACCATCTAATGTAATTGGCACAGCTGTACCCAGGTCCTTACTTTGACTCTTCCTCTCATCATAGGCAAAATTAAGTAAATTCAGTCACTTTTAAGCAACAGCAGCCAAGAAGCAATAATTTCAGAAGAAAACGAGGCTGCACAGTCTAAGGTAACAGAAAGACACGATAAGCTATAGCCTAGCGGGCACAAAGCGGAAATATGTGAATAGCAGGCTTAAGTACTAAAAAGCATGTAAGTCCAGAGTCTTACACAAAAAGAGATTTTTAAAGAAGTATTTCAGAGCCCCCATGCTTCACTCTAGAGTTGAGTTCAATGACTGACACAATAATAGTGATTATTAACAATAATCTTAAGAATCCTAAATTTTATTCATATATATGGTTTAACAAAGTCAGATAAAGCAAAGTATTTTAGGTACTTTTCTCAAATGGCTAAAATAATATTTTGGTTTTTAAAAATTATTTTATTTTTTTAGTCTTTTTGAGACAGGGTCTCACTATGCCTCGGTGTCTCAAGTGCTGGAATTACAAGCGTGTGCTACCATGCCCAGTAAAAAAAGTATTATTTTAGATGCATCAGAAAATTATCTACACAGAATCTTACTCTGAAGAATTTAGTTAAAATAGCACAAATATAAAATACATAGTACTCAGACTTTAAAGAATATAACACAGTTATATACAGTAGAAGTCAACAAAAATATTAAATAAGATTAAATTATCTAGAATAAGTGTCAAAGAAAATCCTATCAAAAATTATTCCACTCACTGCAGTGGTCTATGTATATCTGTCCTGAGAGCTAAATATTTGCTGAATATCAAGATAGCTAATATTCACTGGGTGTAGTGGGAAACTCTTGCAGTACTGGCACTCTAGGAGGCTGAGGCAAACAGATCACAAGTATGAGTCCAGCCTGGGCAATTTTGTGAGACCCTATGTCAAAATAAAAACTGGGGGCATAGCTCAGTGCAAAGGCCCTGGGGTTCAATCCTCAGTACTAATAAAGTTTAATAAAAATGGTACAAAGCTAATATAGCTAATATTAAAAACCAACCAACAACAAACCTAGAACACAATAAGGGTTCAACATGTTAAAAATAAATTAGTTACTTTTTTAATTCAAATTTTTCTTTTTTCTGATGTAGCTGACTAGATGGGTATAAACCAAGAATTTATGAAGCTTTTTCAGTTAAATTAAATGAAAATTAATATATACCTCAATCCTTGTTGGATTAAGTACAATGATCATAATGTAAAATCATTCAATATAAAAATCATTCTATATAAAAATGGAAGAATTCCCATTTACATGTTTCTATTGTGCTTGCTAATAACTTGAGTAAAGATAAACATAGTATGTTTAAAAAGTTTTTTACATATGTACACGTACATATACACATGCGTGTGGCATATCAACTGTCCTAGAAATAATGTGTATTCATTTTGTTAGATTAATGTGATAAATTATCCTCCTCCTTTACCAGAAAATTGTGAGAGAAATATCATCTCTCCTTGCCATCCAAATCCTTGAGGGGAAAAATGTGCAAATCTATGATAGTGATAGAAGAGCTCCTGAATCCAGTTCCTCCCTTCTCTCAGCTCCTAGAAATCTGCAATTTCCAATTTTTTTTGTGATTTCCAATTTTTATCAGGTGCATTTAAGACAAACATCCCTATGGGAAATAGGTAGACAGACACGTAGGTCCTCTATTGGCAGATATGTTAAATTACAAGATTACAGCTGAGAGACTAATAAAGATCATAAAAACACAAGACTGTTTCATAAAATAACACAATCCTGGACTGTAATATAAGCAACTGCTCAGTCAATTCAAATCAACAAACATTTATAGGTCTCTCTAACCTAGGCAAAGTACCTACATTTCAAGATTCCTGCGCTCCAATGGCATGAATAATGTAACAGTTATTAAACAGTTATAAAACAATTTCCAAGTCTAAGGCACACAGATAGAAGCAGTATTATTTCACAGGAGAGTAGATGAAGAATAAAAGGAGCACTTGATAGCCCCTATAGGAAGGGAATTAGGATTAGCAATGCTATATAAATCAGCTGGGCAATGCCTGGGCCCTCATACACCCAGTAACTCAGTACACACTGCCAGCAGAGGGTAGGAAGGACTCAGGAAGTCCCTGCCCTTCAGTGTAACACAAAAGCAAAGCAATGTCCAGGGAACCCTGCAACTGGCAAGCAAACTCACAACAGGATGTTGTATGATTACAACCAACGGACACACAAGTGTCATGGGAGAGGGGGGTGTCAGCTCTCAAGAAATTGAGTCACTACAGTGGTATGATCTGGCGAGATAAGACATGTTCTAAAATGACTACCTGGGCTGACTGAGCAAGAACTATAAAAATGGGATGACAAGTCATCATTCCAAGCAGTCAGGTAGTCTGTTGTTCAGCAAGTATTAACTGAATATGTACTATGTTCTACTGCTTTCAGGGCTAGAGATACCATAGCCCATAAGACAAATGACCTGTCTGCAAGAAGTATGGAGTCCAGGAGGGGAAAAGTAGAAACCAATGTAAAGACAAAGACAAATAACCTAGTAAGACTTTCAGAGTAGTGCATAATATGAGGAAAATAAATCATAGGACTGGAACAAGACTGTTTGGGTGTCTCCTTCAATTAAGTAAGCTTGAGGCAGTCTGTCTCAGGCCTGGTTTAACCTATGACCTGAGTGATGAGAAGTAGGAAGCTATACAAAGAGTCTCATGGAATTGGGGGTGGGGGTGGGGTGGGGGGTACTACGGATTGAACTCACGACCTCAAGCGTGCCAGGCAGGGGCCTGTGCCACTGGTCTACAACCCCAGCCCCTGTGTCATTTGAGATCCGAGTCATTTGAAATAGGATTCCAACCAGAAAGAAGTACAAATACAAAGGCCTGGAATACAGTAACACTGGCCAGTGCATATGGCATTCACATGAATGAGAGAGAGAAAGGCCGGAGACAAAGTCAGATGTACGTAATGAGTGCTAGCTATTTATCAAAATTCTGTTTTCTCGTCTTCCTAGGATGAGGTTAGTATGCATTGCCTAGCTTTCCTAAAGTGGGATCTTGCATGTAAACTCTGGACAATGAAATAGAGGCCAGAATAAAGGTGCTATTTTGGGACCAATGCTTTTGCTACGTAGGCACTTTCCCTGCCCACTTTTTCCCATCTGTCATAAACATACAAATAATACTCAGATCCTAAGGGATGACATAGTCACAAGAGCTACCTGCTAACTACAACACTCCCTTGACCTGTTAACTGAATATCAAATAAATTTGCTTTTGTATTTGAGGCAGTATACCACAGCCAAGCCAAGCCTGTCCCGACTAATACGAGGCCCAATCATGGAAGGACCCTATAATCTTTATAAAGAGTCTGAATTTTATTCTAATTGTAGAAGAAGCAAGAAGGTTAATTTTTAAGTATGTATTTATTTATTTTGGAACCGAGGATTGAACTCATGACCTCGTACTTGCCAGGCAGTTGCTTATGCTGCTGAGCTAAATCCCCAGCCAAAATGTTTTAAATGAAGCTGGAACCTGAGCTATGCCTCCAATCCTTTTCATTTTGCGGGGTGAAGCCTGGGAAAGAGTATTGAACTCATGACCTTGTGCATGCCAGGCAGGCACTTGTGCCGCTGAACTAAATCTCCCGCCTAAGTTTTTACTTCTATGGGTAGTTCTAACTACTATGCAGAGAATGAACTGTGTGGGGAGCAAGAATGGGTAGATGGTGTGACACAGGAGACTGCAGAGCTCTCCAGGAGAGAGTGAACAGAAGCTTAGCAGGGAAGGTAAGAAACAATCAGATCTTGGGTCTACTCTGAAAGTGAACATGAGCACCACTGACAGAGTATGTGGTGCAGAAGAGAAGAATCAATAGTAACTTCTGAGTTTTTAGCAATCAGGTTCATGGTGATACGAAGTCTCAAAAAATACTGAAAAGAACAGGACAGATCTAACAGAGTGAAGAGAATCAACGGTTCTCTTTTAACTATTTTGTTTCAGATGCCTGCAAAACCTCCAAATAAAAATGTCAAAATAGGTATATAAGTGTCTGAGGACAGGGATTCAACATCATTATTTTGGGTTCATCAATACACAGATACTTAAAACCACAGACGTGGGTTGTTGGCTCTCTCTGCTCATACTACTAATGAATTTATGGCTGGATATGATGTTGGCAGGTGAAGCCTAATGGAGAGGTGGGTCACCTTGAGCACAGCCTGGAAAAGCAAATCTCTCTCCTCCTCCTTTGATCTCACACTGCTTTTTTTCTGCCATTCCTTGAGTATTCCTCCTCTGCCATGCCCCTCTGCCATGCAGCCCTGCCATCCTGCCAAGGAGCAAGCTGATTATGGATTGAAACCTCTACAAACTGTGAGCTAAAATAAAGCTTTCCTCCTTCAAATTGTATGTGTCAGGTATCATGTTTCAGCAATGGAATTAAGGCAACAGGCTTTGATCATTTGGAAAAGTATTGATTTAAATACACCTTGTTTCCCAATAAGGCCAAGTTACTCATTTTTGTACTTAAAATCTAAAAATTCAGTTCATGGAGATCTTACCGATGTCAATATCAGTAAACCCTTCTGCGCTGATTGCATCCATTGTGCTTTTGTCGATTGTGTCCAGACAGAGACTTGCAAGCTGAGGTTCATCAAATAATCGAGCCTAAACATAAGTAAACCATTATTTTACTTTATTTCCCCTGTAAGCTGTGTATAGAATTGATACGAAGTTACAATTGCTAATTATGGAGAAGTAACTACTTGTATCTTTATCAGTATACAGCTTATTTTTTATACACTGCTTATGATCCTTAGAAAACACTGTAGGTTAGATATGGAGACATTATCATCCCATTTTCAGATGAAGAAATAAAGATTCAGAGATGTACACTAAATTGCCTAAGATCATCTACCTATAAACCTTGTAAACTCTAGCATTTAAATCTTGACTATTACAAGCTGCACTAATCCGTAATACTGATTGCCAAGTATACCAGTATAAAGAGAATAAATTTTTTTTTTAACATTTTCTGTTTTGATGGAGAAGACAGAGGGACTATAAGAATTCTAGAGCATCAGAGCTCTAGGAACTTTTGTAAAAATTAGTTTTAAAGAAAAAAAAACTCTAGGCCTAACAACACAAGAATAAGTAAATTCACATGATGGAACATTATACAACAATAACAATGAATAATTTACAGCTATACACAATATGGATGAATCCCACAAACTTAAAATCATGATGAAGACAGAATATGTAAGAATCAAGAGTAGATAAAATGCACGATTCCCTGCCAAGCTAATTTAGGCTTTAGGAAGTCAAGCTTGTAATATGTGCTTTATCAGGGCAGGAGGTTTAGCTCAGCGGCATAAGCACCTGCCTTGCAAGCAGGTGGTCGTGAGTTCAATCCCTGGTACCGATAAAAATGAAAAACACACAAAAAAAATGTGCTTTATCAATACACACACTGCAACTCAAAAAAGAAAGCATGAAAGCAGGGGGAGTAGATGTCAAACTCAAAAGAAACCCCGAGGAAACGCATGGCGATAGGTATGCCAATTACCAGACTTACTCTGGCCCAGATCAGCTGTGTTTCCATCAATAGTTCAGATACATACTGACCGCAGAGGCACTCATGTGAGCCCTGCAAAATTCTGCTGTGAATATTGCCAATTAATTGACTGCATAAGTGGGAGCCATTATTTAGCATGACTGATGGTGGTTCATTTAATTTTCAGGTAAAATCCATTCTAAAGGATTCAGGAATTCAGATGTTAATGAACAATGATAAGCATCTCTAAATAGTTATGCTTTATGAGAAAAAAAGTATTAAATATATTGGCTTTATGGTAAAATTTTAAAATTTACCTGCATAATATGTAAATCAGAACCATTTTTTAAATGACAGAATATATAAAGAAATGCAGGGACTTTCGGGAGAACATGGCGGGCAGATAACAGCAGCTACGAAGGCTCTCTGAGACAGCCAGCTTAGAATCCAAGAATGATGCGGTGTGAGTCATCCTAAGCAAGGGGAGATATACCCTGCCGACCCAAGAATGAACTAAGCTGAGAGAAACCAACTCTAAGTGCAATCCCGATGCTATAACAGGAACAGATAAAATCTCAGCATGGAAGCTGGAACCCGCGCCTCTGGAAGCTTGGATTTGAATTTCCTGCTGCCGCTGCTGCATCTGAATTGGCACAGCAGGGGCAGAGAGGCAAAACCTCTGAGCACAGGAATTGGTGAACTGAGTTGAGAGCGGGACAAGTGGGGAGCCCTGCATCGACCTGCGGTGAGTGAGAGGAATGGGGACCCTTCCATAGACTAGGAGGCTTCAACAGAGGACATTCTAGGACTGGACAGACTAGCCAGAACAGGACACTGCAGTGACTTTAGTCACATATTCCCCTCTCAAGCGGGACTAGTAGGGAGCCCTGACCTGGGTGACCCCTAGGACTAAGACCCAGTAGGCTAGCTGAAACTAGGTCCAAGCCCCTGGCGGTGCAACCTAGCAGTGAAGCCTTCAGTAGGTTGACTTGGAGGGGCAGGCCCAGCAGAGGCTACCCAGGTCTATGTCTCCCTAGTACACTGCAGTGGGCAGGAACAGCTAGCCAGCCGATTCAAACAACTGTAACAGACAAAGAGAAAAAAAAATTGGGCCTCTTATATACACCTGTATGGAAGGAACAAAAAGTATGGGAAGAAGGAGCAATAAGAAAGGGTCCTCAGTTCCCAATCCTGAGAACACTGATCCAGGAAAGGTTAATGCAAAGGAGAATGAGGACAGAAAACATGCAATATCAGACACGCACCAATAGACATAAAGCGGTATCTCCGGAGCCTCATAGACGAGTTCAAAAATGAAGTATTTAATGAAATAAAGTAAGATATAAGTAGAATAGTTAGAGAAATGCTAAGCACCACCCAATAAAAAACAGATGGAGGAATGGAAGAACAGAAAAAAAGGGGAGAATTGTTTGATGGAGAAAATAGAGAAAACAGAATACGTGAAGCAGGTTCAAAGAGATTACCAGGAAACTAAAAACTCTATTGAAAGCAGGCATAACAGCTTGAAAGAAACTAATGATAGATTATCTGAACTGGAGGACAGATTTGTAAGGTGGGAGCATGAAATGAAAAACTTCTTAAAAATAACAAGAAAACAAACAGCAATAATACAAAGGCTAGAAGATGATAAGAGGATCTATAACAAAAATTAAGAACATAAAAGAAGAAGTAGGGACACAAACAAATGAACTACAAAAGCTATTCACAGAAATAATCCAGGAGAATTTCCCTAATTTAGCAAAAGATAAAGATACTCAGATGCATGCGGCATACAGGACCCCAGCCATCTACAACCCAAACAGAGCTACACCCAGGCATATAATAATCAAAATTCCAGAAATCCAATATAAGAACAGAATATTAAAAGCATCAGAGACAAGAAACAGATCACTTACAAGGGAACACCCATCAGAATTATAGCAGACATCTTGGCACAAATCATCAAATCAAGAAGAGCGTGGGGGGAAATAATTCACACTTTGAAAGATAATAACCTCCAGCCATGATTGATAAATCCTGCACAAATGTCCCTAGAATTGATGGAAAAACAAGGTGCTTCCAGGATAAAAAGGAACGAGGGGAATTTGCAACCACCAATTCAACTCTACAGAGAATACTACAGGATACTCTAAGGAAGAAAAATACCAAGATTCCAGAAACAGTGGCAGAGAGGCCACAATGAATGGGGCAGAAAGCGAAATGAAGAAGACAAACAGACAACTAATGACAGAAAAAGAGCTCAACAGAAATGAGGCAGAGAAGGTTGGATGGTAGGAACAGCTATTTTGGAGAAAACAAGACATAATAGGTAGTGCTGATTTAATATCATCTTGTTCTGAAGTCCCATCAAGCTTTTGTTCATCTGTCTCCATCGGTTTTAACCTGTTGTATCTTATTGGATTTTAATATATGTGATAATATAAACAAAAACTTTTATAGACAAGGAGATTATACAGAAACCATTGTTCATTTTCTGTTAGTCGATTCTAAATACCCTGTAATCCTGTCATTCTCTTGAACGGTTTTACATTGTCTTGATATGTTTGATGCTACAGTATACAAAGTTATACTCAAAGATTTCAAGGAAAGAGACACTATGGTAACTACTTTTATGTTGGGATTATGTTGTGGTGAAACACTATTTTGCTTAAATGGTTATTTTTTGACCTGCGCTGTTTTGTTGTTATACCCTCTTTTATCTCAATCTCCTTTTTTTATTATTTACTTTTTCATTTTTATCCTTTTAATTAAGGGAAAAATAAATAAAAAATAGCAGGATATATTATAGTAACCCACTTTGATTTCCTATTCACTTGATTTGAAACCCTGTATTGCTCTCACCATCTTGTTTTGACTGATTTTCCTCTATTCTGTTTTGCTTGATAGTACCAAGTTCGAAAGTATAGGCAACAACTGTGAAGACAATAAGATTCATTATGACGCCCATTCTGGTTGACTATTATCTTCTTTTGAAGTCCTCTAATGTCTCCAATGTTTTGGTTTTATTAGTTTTGTTCTTTACTGTTTTGTTCAATTTTATTATAACTGATGATATAGGCAATTCTTTTTAAGATAGCAAGAGGCATTATGGTAACCATTGTTGATCACCTTGTATTTTGTTTTTACATTATATATTATGTCCATCCTTTTGATTTGACTGACTCTGTGTTGTTATGTCACATTTGGTTTTACTCTCTTCAAAAAAAAGTAATAAGAACTGTGGGAGTAATAAAACCCAAAATGTGTAATTGTCATTGTACAAAAGAGAGGAAAGAAAGTGCTCTAAAGGACATAACTGCATGTATATTTAAGTGTATAAGATAGATAACTATATTACTGAGTTTTGTTGGATCATTGAACAGAACAGTTTATAGTCTCACTGTTTGAATGTCCACTCTATATGCTTTAATTTTGTAACTTGAACAACTATTTCTAAGATGACAATATGTAATCTATTAACTAGTGATTTCCTACTGTTTATTTTTTCTGAAATTCTGTATAACTTGTATCCTTTTTCTGTTTTTTTTTTTTTTTTTTTCTTTTTTCTCCTTAAATAAAAGTAAAAAAAAAAAGAAATGCAGGCCAGGGATTTATGTCAGTGGCATAAGTGCCAGCCTGACAAGCATGAGGTTGTGAGTTTGATCCCTGGTACAAAAAAAAAAAAAAAAAACAAAAAAACAAAAAAAAAAAACCTATTCTTGGATCATACACTGAGACTCTTTATATTACTTTGTCAAACTGTTAATTTTAGTCCTAAATTAAAAATAATAGAATAAGGGCCAGGAGTTTAGCTCAGTGGCATAAGTGCCTGCTTGGCAAGCGTGTGGTCGTGAGTTCAATCCCGGGTATAAAACAACAACAACAAAAATAATAGAATGTTAACACTTTCGTGTAATTTTCCCTTAAAAGTTGCAAGGATAGGAAAGAAAAACAAATTTACTTATCTAGACACTACCTATCTGGCATTTTGCCCCAGGTTTTCTCATACACACACACACATACACATACACACATAAACACACACACATTTTTAACATAAATACTAACATGAATATAATATTCTCATCTTCTGGCTGAATTCCAAGTTTATTATTTGACCCCCAATTTTTTTTTTTACTACATTTTTGCTTCTAATACAGGATTCACACGTCATGCTTTTTTTTTTTCTTTTGGTGGTACTTGGGACTGAATCTAGAGCCTGAATCATACTTAGCTTCCTCCCTGACCTTTTAAATGAGACAAGTTCTTGCTAAGTCATCATATCACCCTGGTGACCTCAAACTTTCAATTCCCTGCTTCAGCCTCCTGGAGTGCTGGATTACACATGTGCAATACCATGCCTAGCTAGTTTATGCATTTTTAAAGTAAGAAACATAATACATTTTTGTACAGTCAAAGTCTGTTGTCAGCAGGGTTTTTTTTGTTTGTTTGTTTTTTGGTTTTTGGTTCCGGGGTTTGAACTTATAACCTCGCACTTGCCAGGCAAGCACTTGTGCCACTGAGCTAAATCCCTGGCCCATCAGCAGATACTTTAATTGGTACAAGTCAACTTTATTTTTGGTTGATGTTCATAAAAATTTAACATTTAAATCTAGAAAAAAGTTATTTTGTGTAAAAATTATCTTATTCAGAGTAGCAACTACTAGTCCTCGGGTTACATAAGCAATATTATATCCTATTGCTATGCATCTAGCACTGCTATGTAAGAGTAAAATAAGTTTTCTAAAAATTTTGCCATTGTTTCTCATAATACTTCACAAAAAGTATTTTTCTCAGCATAAACCATGCAGAGACAGCACACGGGCTTTTCCCTTAGGGTGAAGCTACCCGGGCCTTTTGAGTAAAGGAACATGCTTAGTTCAAGTAAGTCACTTGGCAGGAACTAGAAGTTCACATGACTCCACCAGTAAAAACAATGATGTGTTACTGGGTTCTCAGGCCATCAAGACACTGAAACATTCCTTTTCTTATCACAGGGACAGCTATTAAATAAATAATCTTGGCTACGGGATGTGTGGTCCACAAATACTGGTGTCATCTGAAATCCAAAAGAAATGTGAAACTTCGGTCCCACCCCAGATCTACTGAACTGGAATCTGCATTTTAATTAACGAAGTTCAGTTTGATTTCTGAATTGTATAATTTCAAATATAAAAGTAGTTAAGTGATCCACTCTATATACATTAAAATCCCATGAACAATGAAGATTTTTATGAATATCAACTTACTAGTTTTTTGGTTTTTTTTTTTTAAATATAGGGTCTCACTGTGTCACTGTGTAATTCAGGTTGGCCTTGAACTCACTATGTAGTCCAGGCTGACTTCCAATTTGCAGCAATCCTCCTGCCTCAGCCTCCTGACAACTTACTAGATTTTTATCAAATTGTGTTGAGGAAAAAAAAAATGTTGGGAGACAGTACTTATTAGTTACCTGACTTTAGTCAAGTTATTTCACTTCTATGTGCCTCAACACTTAATGGTGATAATAAGAAAGCCTACACTTAAGTTATTGTAAGGACAAAATGAACTGATGTACAGAAAATACGGAGAGAGCTAATGTTATGGTGTAAAGATGGAGTGTCCCCACAAAGTCTCAAGTAATAAAGTTTTGATGCCCAGTGCAACAAGGTTTAGAGATGGGGCCTACAGATGGGACAGTCACGAGGATATTCAGCACATCAAAGGATGACCCACAGATGAGTCACAGCTGAATAGGCCATCGGAGGCTGGGAATTGGATGTGGTAGGACACTGGGGGAGTGTCTTTGAAGGGTGGCCGAACCTATGACATGCATGTTATTTTTTGTTTTTTAAGAGCAGAATATATTTATTGAGAAAAAGCAAGCTTCTTTCTGAGAGAGACAGAAGGGGTCTGAGTGGATTGCCCTATGCATGTTATTTGCTTTTAAAACAAAGATGGTTGGGGCTGAGGATTTAGCACCTGCCTGGCAAGTGCAAGGTCATGAGTTCAGTACCAAAAAAAAGAGAGAGAGAAAAAGAAGCTAATGTAGGAGGTTTTTTTTTTTTAATAACCTAAACCTCAGTACTCAGGTTTAATTGCAGTATTGCCATTTTGTGAGAAATAAGTGGGTTTTGGGTTGCACTTTGGCCACTCATCTCTAAGAGGTTTGCTATCTCTGGCCTATCTTGTCCAGGGCCCTCCCTCCTTCCTGTAAAGCTCTTTCTCTACCTGACATCCCTTGAGCAATCTTCCTTAGCCATGATGTTTCTATCTCACCACAGGTCTAAAAACTGCAGCCAGTAAACCATGGGATAAAGCCTCTGAACCCGTTAGCCAAAATAAACCTCTCCTCCCTTAAGCTACTTATGACAGGTACCTTGTCACAATACTGGAAAACTGACCAAAATAAATGCCTGGCACACAACCATGCTCAAGATATTTTGCTGTTATTATTAGCTGAGTGTCTCACATATAGAGCTCTGTGATGATGTTCAAGAAGCAGTGCCAACAACATGCTCTTTCTTCTCCGACTACAGACACTTAATGATGGCTCTTAATCCCAGCCCCAGGCCTAAGTAGCTATCTAACTGTGAGTTATAATGCCTCTCTACATATAAGACTTCAGCTTCTTTACCCTTATGATTCAGCACTGCATTAATTCACATTTCTACTTCAAAACTGTATGACCTAGGATAGTTCCCTGAATTTTATTATAAAAGTAACTGTAATACTTTAATAATCAAGAATTGTTCAATCAAATAGTCACATCTATTCAGTCTTTAAACTACAAGGATGCACACCTTAACTATATGTACTTACCTGAGTAAGTAACATAAAGGCATTATCTGCTCTAAGATGCTTGGTGAGGAAGTCCACACAATGTGCTTCCAAGGCTGGGACAGCATATTTCTTAGCAGTATACAGAGTGGTCATAACTGTTTCTGGGCCAATCTGAACTTCATCTGAATACAGAAATCTAAAAAACAATTGGGAAATTTACAGAGATGATCACTGTTTTATATAAGCAATTTATAAGAGGGGTTACTTTCAAAGGTTAATTCCTTTGAGGAATTATTTTAAAAGATAATGAACAAATGGGAGAATAATGTGGAATTTGCACCTGAGTTTTCAGCCTACACGGCATTTGTAAATATGCTCTCTTACTCGTTGGCTCTGAGACCTGAGGCAAACTGTCACCACTAGGTGTATATCTAAAAAGATCAGAGTAACAGTACAGTACCTCCCCCAACATTGTGATGAGAATTAACACACCCCCAATATTGTGATGTGATACAGTGTGATACAATGTGATACAGAAAGCATTTTGAATAGTGGCCTGTCAAAGAATTAGTCTCAGAAAACATTAGCTATTTAATGGCATATGATATCATTTTTATTGCTCTGATCTGTAGTCTGGAAAATTCCTTTGTACTTTTAGTTTAATTTTTGTCCCTACCAGTTATATATATATTTATTTTCAAAACTTTTGCTTCTTTCTTGATTACTCCTTTTTTCTCTACAGCATTATGTTTTAATTTTATGGATTCAAAAACCTTCTCAAGACTCCAAGATGATTTTTAAAGTTTTAGTCCTTTCTGTTCCTCTGAATTACCTGCTTCATTCAGAATCTGTTGTTATGTTTGTCATTTGCGTTCTGCTTTTCAGTGTGTGTCAACTGATTAATGTCTGTCTCCAAGTTCAGTGTTCTACTAGCTGATCTGTCTCCAGCTAAAACCATCTCCAGGTATCAGGTCCCAGGTCAGGACCACATTGCCATCCTGAGGAGAGCCTCATCCTGGGCAGCAAAGTCCTATTGGCACTCCATTTATCTCCAGGGAGTCTGGGTTATTTACAGAGAACCCTGTTGGTTGTCACCAGCAGCTGACTGGGGGGATAGCCTACAAGCGGGATTTTAAGTTGACTTCTCTCCCTCTTCCCTCCAAAAACCTAGGCTAGACCTTGCTAGGGTTCTGCTGGGACTTGCAGCCTGGGCTCCAGATTGACCCTTTCTATTTCATTCATCAGCAAGCTTCCACATGCTTCATCTGTTGTCTACACTGCTGCCAAGACATCTCTTTCTCATCTCTGTAACAGAGACTCTTTCATTATTTCTTAATAGTCACTTTAATTGGGAGAGTGAGAAGGCTAACTGTGTATTCAGTTGCATTCCTGAACTAAACACCTATGACGTTTTTGCTTTAAGGGTTAGGTAGAAGTTCTTCACTCCTGACCTAAGTTAGTTTTATACCTCCCTACGCAAAAACTGCTAGGTTCTGAAAAAGAGCAGAAACAAGGGTGTTTACCACCATTTTCCTTGGTATTTGAGAACAGTCAAACTTAAGGGGACAAGGGCCCCAAAGCTGAAGTCTGCAGTTCTATGAGACACTGTATCTGGGTGTTCTGGTGCAGGGTACACTTGAAAAACTTCTTGGGAGTTTCTGACAAGATGTACAAAATAAAAAGTGGATGGGAAAAATATTCGAGAACAGGAGAGAATTGTGTTTTTAGATTACTCTGTATGAGACCCTCCCATTCAAATTGCTTTTATTAAGTTATACTTCTGGTTTATATAAAGGAATACTTTTAAGAAACCTGCATACTTAGAGACACAGATTAATAATACTATTCATTACAGTAAAGCCTCATTTACAATGGGACTCATCAGGAGCTTTGGCTTTTTACTGGCCTAATTTTGAGACAGAGCAGTACATCTCCTAAAGCAGGTGGTGTTTTTAATCTTACAAACACCATGAATTATAACCAAGCAACCCAGTTTTTTGCTTTGCACTGTCATTAATATAATTACAATGAAGCATAGTTTACCCACACCATATGTTCTGTATTAACCAGCTTTATCCCTGACTTTATTTTACTTCTTTTTCTTGTTTAAGATATTTTAAATTTTTCAGTGCAAAATAAAAATAAACTCTGAATTATAAATAAAAGCTGCTTCTTCTGTTGTCCCCCTCCCCCCAAGTCTTCCCTATAGTACCAGGTACAGTGTGAGCACTTATTTAAATCTTAATAAATACATGTGAAATGTGAACTGACTAGAACACTCACTATAGGTTTCTATGTAACACTGACAGGGAAATTATTTCCATTTTTAACAACAACAAAAAACCTTAAAAATCCAAGATTCATCTTGGTTCACTTCCTCAACATTCTATTGAATTGTGAGGATTTCTTTAATATAAAACTAAATAAGCCAAGATTTGCCAAGTATAATTAAAAATGAAACATGACATTACCACAATTCTTTGTATTTGAAAGTGACTGAGTAAACTCTCACATACAATCTCCAACAATAAGAACCCAAGAAAATGATTATGTCATCATACTATTCCTGTATTCTCCCGAAAGATGGTTTGCTAAGAAGAGAAAATTCAGATTGCATCTAATACAATTAATTTTTTAAGGCTAACATAACAATTTGACTTATTAGAAAAAACCCCACAAGATCATATATGAGGATCTTTGACTCCAGGTTCACTTCCCAGCACCACCATCACCACCATCACAACAAAAAGTTATGCAACTATACAGTATATTATCAGACATTGTGATGGATCCTAGACAAACATATGTGGGTAATATAGCTTTGCCTTTAAAAAAAAAAAAAACCTTAACAGTGTGAGAATGAAATGAATAGGTAATGGAAATATCCATTAAGCACTACTATATAATAACTAATTTCTTAAGATGTGCCCAAGAAATCATATCTTCCAGAATTAACACCGTTACACACGTTTGTTCCCCAAGAAATCTGAGCTGGTTGAGTGTGACTCCATTTGACCAACCGACCTTGGTGCTGCTATGCTGCCAGTCTGGGGACTACACCATTTGGAGGCCTGGCAGCTCCTGTTTGCTCTCAAGGGAACCACTGGCTAAGGGATTAATCTACTCTGCTGAAAACAGCAGCTGGAGAAGGCCGGTGGAGTGGATCTGAGACTACACAGAAAGAGGCAAACATTTAGCCACTCTGGATCTGAGTCTAACCTGCAGATGAATCTAGCCCCAGATAATACCCGGTACAGCTGCATGAGAAACCAGAAACAGGCTATGTGAACCACGAACCACCTAGGTGATCCTAGTAACCCACACAACCTTGACAGGGAGATAATAAAGCCCTTGTTTAAGCCACGAGGTGTTAAGAGTGGCTTGTTCTATGACAACAGAAAACCAAAACATGCTGGGAGAGATCAGATGAGCCAGTGCCCAATTCCACCTGTGGGCAGAATTAAGTGATGCTATGTAAGATGTAAAATTAAAGGTACCTGAAGAATACTAACAACATGTGCAGATCTTCTAGGTACAAAGGCTGTAACGGAAGTGAGGGAGCCTTGAAGGCAGCCATTTAAACAAGGCCATCAGAATTGAGGCCATCAGGATTGGGACCAGAGTGAATAGGAAGGAAGGCCAGGGAAAAAAAAACAGATCGTAGCATTCTCCCCAAGTGCTTAAACTTTACCCTGTAGGCAAAAACAAGCCAGTAAGACTCTGGGAAACCATGAGTATGTGCGTAACTATTAATAGCATAAATGGAGAGACTACAGACAGTAATCTGGCTGAAGAAAGGTGGGAAAAAAATAAAACAAAACAAAACAAACAAGAAGAGTAGGACGGTCCAAAAGGATGAGCAATCTGTAGAACAAACCAGAACCAAACTACAACTTGAAGTCAAGCTTGTAAGTCACTCCCCAACTGACCACAGAGTCTTGAACAAGAATACATTTGTGTATTTTTAATCCCTGAGTTCTGGGATTCTTGATTTATAGCATTATTATGCTAAAAGGTGCCTGCTACGGGGATATATCGTGTGCCTGCCTCAACGGGCTTTTCTAGAACTTAAATGGGTGCTCAGGAACAGTAAATGGCACATAGGTAGCACTCATTTAAAAAAAGACCTTTTTAAAATGACATTATTAATGTCCATCAGCATGGGTACTGGATACTGTTTTGAGAAGATTCAGGTGGATATGAGGGTCTGGCAGGGAGTAAAGTCCTAAAGGCATGAAGATGGAGCTAGTCATGTCATGCACTGATGGAAAGCAGACGCTGCAGCGGAAGATACAGGTTAAGCATCCACTGCCCCTTCCAGCCACCCTTCACTTTTGTGCTTCCTTCTGCAACAAAACTCCTAAGAGCATTGCTTACACTAGCTGTCTCCTGTTCCCCACCTTCCATTTTCTCCCCCATTTACTTCAATCAGTTGAAATTATTCTTGTTAGTTATCAATGGCTTCCATCTCATCAGAACTAATAATCAACTCAATGTCATTTTACCCAACTCTCAAAAGCACAGCTGCCCACTTTTCATAGTGGACATCATTTTCCAGTCCCTCTCTTGAAACATTTCCTTTGTCTTGATCTTGAGGAGGCCATACTCCTTGCTTTCTTTCCTAACAGAACTGAATGGAATGCTCCATTCATTTCCTGCTCCTCTTCCTCGACTACCTCTCTACACAGTGGAAGACCGAAGAGCTCATCCCTACACCTCTTCACAGCCTACCCCCTTTCCAAGGTAATCTCACCTGGCCTCACTGTTTACATATCATTCATCTCCACTTTCAAATTTACATCCTACCAGAAGCTCTTCCCTAAACCCCAGATTCACACTTGTCTATTTATTCTATGTCCCTGCTTCAATGTCTTGACAGCCCTTTATTACATAGCCAGAATTAGATCACTTGCTTTTCTACCTCCCTGTGAAAGTGACCATCGTCTCTTACTTGGACAACTGGGAAAATCCTTTTTAATTCATCACCCTACTTCCTATTTTCCTCACCCTGCAATCTAATCTCCAAACAGCTGCCAGAATCACTTATATAAAATACAGTCGGATCACAGCACTCCCCTCTTCAAAGCCCTCCACAGGATTTCCCTTGCTTACCAGATGAAGCTCAAAGCCCTGCTTCAGTCTCTAATGCCCTGCCTGGCCTCTTTTTGATTTCATCTTTGCTTAAATTACACCTGGCTCACTCTTGCAGTTTCTCCAGCAGGAAAAACTTATGGCCTAAACATGCTTTAGAATGCTCCTTCCCTTACAGCTTGATCATTTTTCTTCAAAATATTCATCAGTATTTGACATTATATGATACCCAAGTATCACCTCACTAGAGTATGCATTATGGGCAAGACTTATCCTTGTTTATTCCTGTATCTCAAACATCAAGAACAGAAACTGGCACACAGTATTTGTCCAATGAACAACTGAAAAGCACCATTTAAAGTTCAAAAGCCACTAAGCAATATTTACTAATTCAAGACATAAACTCAATAAAAGTATGCCCCTGCTACTCTGCTCTTTCAATTTAGCAAGTATTCTATCAAATACCTTTTTGCCCTACAATGTTAGCATCTATATTTCACACCAGCCAATCTCTAAGTTTAAAAATCTGTCTGGATATCAATTTCAGAATAGAACAATAACCAGAACATGAAGAAAGATGAGCACCATGAAAATGTAATACACTAAAATTAGACAATGGAAAATCGAATTGCACAGTGCTACATTTCAAGGACTCTAGAATTAAGTTCTATTAAAGGGAAAGGCTTAGCCTCAGTGAAAACATGCAACATGTATTTTTCCTCTATCTAGCAATCTTATTTTTTAAAAAAGGAAAATACCTAGCAGTATTTTTAATTAGCGACTTAGCCAATGTATTACTCCAAGAAAATTAAAAAATGTTCTCAAGGTCTCATTCCAAACTTAATATTGTAACGATGGGACCTACACACTTAACAATACCCCTGTAAGTCACGCCACTGGCCCACAGAACACTTCTACTCTGAAAATTTAAGGAGCTACACCCAATCTTCCTAGCCAACCTCCAACTAAAAATCAAAATGACCTGTTTCCTAGCTTGAGTTGCTGTTCTCTCCTTATAAAAACAGCTGAACTGAATTACAGAAAATATGAGACAGGGAAAGAGAAGCAAAAACAAGCCTCTGGCATCTTACTCTACCAGCATCCCCTAGCTGAGCATGCTGGTGTTTTCCCCTGTCCTGGTCTCTGGGTATGCAATGTTTATTCAGTTTCATCTTGCAGTTGGAGTCATGGTGCACATAATTCCAAATGCTATTTGCCAGAAACATTTTATGTATCGTTACTTGGTCTTCATTTAAGTATCATATTTAGTGACAGCAATTTTCTTTCCATCAAGTGGACCTACTATTTCTTTCATCCTTTCCTACATGCAGCTGCCTTCCTCATAAATAATACTGCCATAAATGTTTCTGTGTAGAACTTTTTTCAATAGTAGATTGTTTCTTAAGTATGAGGAAAAAATCCAGAGCACCAGATTATTTTCCAAAAGGGAAAACCTTTGTCAGAAAATACCCCCAGATGTTACCTTCAAAACTCTTTATTGGGTTAGAAGCATGGGAAAAGTAACCTCATTGTTTTAATTTCCACTTCCTTATTCACTTACGAGATTTAACACTCAGTATTTTTTTTTTCTTTCCTAATTATGTACCCTATGGGTCCTTGGCATTTATTTTCACTTGTGTGAACTTGGTACTTCTGCTCTTCCTGATTTGTGAGCCTGTGGACAAATCTATTCTGCCCCACGGACCTGCCTGCTTTTGCTTCACAATTACTCAAGCTCCTGTGAAAACAACTTTTTTCTCAGGCTGCCAAACCACCGTGGTGTAACGAAATCTTGTGGGCTCCAGGCGTAAGGACTGGACTGCACGGATCAGTAGTGCCACACTACTTCTCCCTCTGCTTTCGCCAACGCGATGCCCATCAGCTATCCTCAGTGAGCCAAGACGCAAACTCCACTGCCCGCCAGCCGCAGCTCCGCAGCTCCGGACCGCGCGCTCCCACAGGCAGGCTGAGCCACCCGCCCCGGCGGGCCGCAGCCTCCGGGTCCTGCCCAGCGGACGCCCGGGCTCTTCTCCCTGCCCGCGTCCCCACCTGAGCAGCGCCAGAAAGGCGGCGGGCTCCACGTCGGGCAGCTCGATCTCGGCAGACGTGGTGGCCATGCCGCCGTTGAACATGGCGTCGAAGACGGCGCTGCCGGCCGCCAGCACGAAACGGTGCGCGGGGATGCGCTGTGGGCCGCCCGCCGCGCCGCGGCCCTTGCCCAACACGAAGCGCACGTCGCTCAGCAGCTCCGAGTTGAAGAGGAAGGCGAAGCGCTCCTTCAGCGATGCCTTGGTCGCCTGCCAGTTGTACAGAGGCTCGCGCTGCAGGGGAGGTGGCGGCGGCGACACGGGCGGCCCGGGCTCCGCCTCGTTCCCCAGTGCCGGCTCTCCTGCCGCAGCCGGCCCGAGAGAGGAGGCCATCGTCGCGCTGCGGGCTACGGCCTGCGCCGAGCACTCCCGGCAGACCGCTGCCCACAGCGCCGGCCGCAGCGGTGCCGCCCCGCACCTTCCGGGAGGGTGCTTCCGAGCGGGCGCTTCCGGGAGGGCGCTTCCGGTGCCCGCGCGCGCCCGCCCGCGGCGCTTCCTTCCCGCGGCCCGCGCGCCCGAGGCCTCCTTGGCTTGCGCGCCCCTACACGCTTCCGTCTCCGGGAGGCGGGCGCGCCCCCGCCGCAGCGCAGCCAACACAGGCGGCGCTGGACCGAAGGCCGGGGTTTAGGGAGCTGTAAACTCATGGTTTCTGGGTGTGGTAGCACGCGTCCAAAATCTTAGCACTTTCGGAGGCTGAGGCGGTAGGGTCGCTGGATTCGAGCCCAGTCTGTACAACTTGGCGACATGACCAGACCCTGTCTTAAAACAGCAAAAGGAGTGGAGATGTACTCTGGAGCAAAAGCCCTGTACTGCAAAACCAAAAATCCTGCCTGACGCCATCAGGGCAATCCTTTTGAACAGAGGTGTTATCTCGAGTCTAGTTTTTTTCTTTTACAAAATGTTGTCAAGAAAAAAATTAAAATTCTGAGACATGCTGAGAGAGAAAACAACAAATTCCTTCTGATAGAGACTCAAAGACAACTGCTTTATGTGATGAGGAAAATAGAAGATGAAGTCGTTTAACAGAGAACTGCAATCTGAAAATGGGGTCAAATGGAGATTCTGAGTACTATAACAGTTAATGACTAATTTGTGTGTAATAGCAAATAGGACACAGCAGTACAGAGGATTAATGTAGGAAGTCATCTGTAGATGTACAAACAAACATGGGGAGTAAAAATGGGTAGAAAACACAGCTAAAAATAAATGACTTATGCGTGAGTCAACATGAATAAATCCATTATGGATTCATCCATATATATTGGATGCAAAACAGCAAAACAGAGAATGGCGTCGGGGTTTAGCTCAGTGGCCTAAACGCCTGCTTGGCAAAAGTGATGTCGTGAGTTCAATCCCCGATACCAAAAAAAAAAAAAAAAAAAAAAAAAAAAAAGAAAGAAAAAAACAGAATGACAGAACAGCACTTAAAGAATCAACGGGCTAGAAACATTCCCAAACTCTTTAAATACATCAAACTACAAGTTGAAGGAATTGCTACAAATTCCAAGCCCAAATAAGTGAAAACAAAACAAAACATTGCCAAGGATTCAGCAAAATACTCTTCAGAAAAATTGAGGATGTAGCTCAGTGGTACAGTGTATTCTGAGCATGCAGGAAGCCCTGACTGCAATCCCAGCACTGCTGAGGGGGAAAAGGAGACCAAAATTAGACAAAACCAGCACAGGAAAAAAAAAAAAAAAAAACCACAGGCGAATGTCCCTGGCTAACATAAATGCAAAATTTCATGACAAAATGTTAGCAAACTATATCCATCAACATAGCAAAGTACTTATGCACTATGATCAAGAGGGATTTATTCTAGGAATGCAGTTTAACATCTGAAATCAATCAATGGAATGCACCACCATATAAATTGAATAGAGGACAAAAATATACAATTATCCCAGTGTATTCAAAAGAAACATTTAACAAAATCCAACATTTTTTCAATAAAAGTATTCAAACTAGGAACAGAAGAAAACTTTCTTACCGTAATAAAGAGCATAAGAACCATTCATAGTTAATCTTACAATTAATGGAAAAAGACTGAATATTTTCTCCCTAAGACCAAGAATAAGACAAGAATGTCAGCCTTCACTACCTGTATTCAGCATTGTACTGGAGGGCCCAGCCAGTCAATAAGGCAAGAAAAAGAAATAGAAGTGTTGTACCCTAAGAAAATAGCTTTGTTATATGTGTATTATAGCAAACCTGTATAGGGGCTTACTAAATGTGTTTGTTTTATCCTTTTTCCCTAACTGATATGTTAAGGGACCTAATTGATCTGTTGAGCAACACTCTCCTCTGTAAAGAATTGCAAGAATCTCACCTAATTGATATGTTAACCATTGTTGCTCTCTACAAACTACAGAAGCTGTGCTAAAACAAGCTAACAAGGGTTGTTAATCACTGCTAAGAGCCTCTATTCTCTGCTAAAGAGCTAAGGAAAACTAGAATGGCAATTAACTTACATTTGTTTAAAGTAACCTGCTTGTGTGCAGAGAGATTTGCGTGTGAGTTTAACCCTTTACCCTGACCTTGACACATTACCGCCGTTTTCTGTTCTGTATGGCGCCTTATTGCCTCCCTCTCCCCTCACCTATCTATCTAGGCCATAAAGAATTTGGGTTTCTGGTGACCTCCCCCTGACCCGGTGATGATCTGTTGTAAAATGAGCCTGCCCCAATTTTAAGAACTGCTTAGCTTAAACAAATTACCGGGTAATACTATGGCCCAAACCCCAATCGGTGCTTTCCTTTTGTTCTGTATGTATCAAATGAGTTAGATATCAGGTCTTCATAAAACTTAAGTTCCAGCGTCTCATAACTTGTGACCCCTTCGCACTCACTAGCGAAGACAAGCTGTCCTGAGATAATTAACTGTCCACTTTCTTCTCCAAATATTGCTGCAGACGTGCCACTCTGAGATAATGTCAGTCTGCAGGATAAAAATAATTTTTAAAAAACACCAGAAACTCCCTAGATTGTCAGAGCTAAGTGGACAGCAATACAGTTTCCAGACTCGGGTCAACAAGTTTGATGGCTCTACAGGTTTCTTTGTTTCTCTCCCCCCGCCCTTTCCTCCAGCCCCTTTTTAAAGTCCTCCCTTCAGCTCCTAGGGGACAGTCTCCAAATTGGCTCCCGGAGACTGGTCGCCAGGCCTGGAAATAAAGCCTTTGCCACTAAATTTTCGGTCTCTTGCCTCCTTGGATTTTATACCGGGGCTCAAGTTATAACAGAAGATATCTAAATTGGAAAGAAAGAAGTGAAACTATCTAACTTTGCAGAATACATAATTCTTTCTACGCATGTGCGTGTACGCATACACAAAAGCTACTAGAAGAAATAAGGTTAAATATTGCATGATACAAGATCAACATAAAAAATCTATTGCATTCCCGTATGATAGTAAAGAAGAACCCAAAATGAAATTAAACTTTCATTTACAATAACATCAAAACTTAAGCAGCTCGGAATAAATTTAATAAGTACACAAGTTATAATTAAAACTGACAAAATGTTGTTGAAAAATATTTAAACTCCAAATAAATAAGAAGTACCTTTCTTGGTTACCTTTCTTGTTGCTGAGACAAAATACCTAATACCAAAGTTGAGGAAAGATTTATTTAGCTCATGGTTCATAGAGGTCGCAGTCCATAGTTGGCTGGCTTCGAGGCAGGGTGGCATGGCAGAGGGGCCCTGCAGAGAAGAAAGGGTTTGTAATGTGGCAGAGCAAACAGAAGCCAGCAAAGCAAGCAGCAGCAGCAGCAGCGCTGCCTTTCCCTTTTATCCCCACTTTTTGGTGATGCCATCCACATGCAGGGTAGCCCTTCGCATTATTCACATGCAGAATTGTGCTAAACTAACAAGAAGACTAATTATGCACCTTTAATCCCAGCACCATACAGTCTAGCTCCAGCCACCTCCAAAAAGCCCCACCCATGAGCACATGAGGCTTTGGGAGACATCTAGATATAAGCTATAAGTAGAAGACACACCAAATTCATAAATCAGAAGACTATATTGCTGAGATGGTGGTGGTGTTTAAATTGATCTACAGATACAACATAAACTTTATCAGACTCCCAGCTGGTCTTTTGCAGAAACTGATAAGCCGATCCTAAAATTTGTACGAAAATGCATAGCCAAAATCATCTTGAAAAAGATGAATCAAATTCTCTTGCTGATTTCAAAATTTACTACTAAGATAGAGTAATTAAGACAGTATGTACTTGCATAATGATAACGTTAGTCGTATTTCTGTTACTGTAACAAAATAACCTGGGATGGTAAATTTCTAAAGAAGAAAGGTTGATTTTGGCTTACAGTTTGGATGTTTAACTGACCCCATTGGTTTGAGCCTGTGACAAGGCAGCATATTGTGGCTGCTTGCTTAGAACAAGCCCATTTGACACATGACTAGGAGGAAAAGAGGAAAAGACAAGGGTCTAAAAATCCCCTTTGAGGGCACATCCTTAATGACCTAAAATCTTACCATAAACTCGATTTCCTAAAGGCTCCACCACTTTGTAATAGCACCAGGATGAAACCTGTAACAGATGAGTCTTTGGGACTCATTTCCAGTTCTGATAGACATATAGATCAATTCAAAGGAATTAAGAGTCCATCAGTAAATGTAGACATCTATAGTCAATTGATTTTGAACAGGAATGCAAGATCATTTAATGACGGAAAGAATAGTTCTCTTGACAAATAATGCTGAGACAACTAGATAGTCTCATGCAAAAGAATGAAGGTGAACCCCTACCTCCCACTATATTCAAAAATTTGTCCAAAGTGGATCATAGACCTAATGTAAAAGCTAAAATCATAAAACACATACATTTGAATATAATTTATTATAAAATAAAAATGATACCATACTACCCACAGAGTTCTAAAACTTGTCTTCCCACTTAATACATTGTGAAAATTGTTCTATGCCAAGAAGTCCCAGAGTGAAATGCTTACTAAACTATTGTGGGCTTAGATGACATTTCAGCTCACACTGTGAAGTTAATTGTAATGTCAAAACTGATAGCTCATAGAAAACAAGCCATTAACCAGTCTCATACTGTGTGTGAATATAATATGAAAATCTCAAACTAATAGCAGGTAAAATTTAGCACCAATTAAAGGTTTAATTAATTACAACCAAGTAAAATTTATTAATTTAAAGTAGTTCAATAAAAATAAATGATACTGGTAACTATAACCTCAAATATAGATAGTTTAACTCAGGTACCAAAAGACATTTCTATATATTCTTTAACAAAAAAGTTATTCTCTTGAACATTTAGCATATCCAAATATTCACATAATAGATGAGTATAGTGGTACATGTCTGTAATCCCAGCACTATGGGAGGCTGAGGCAGGAGGAGTTTGACTCCATCCTGGGCAACTTAGCAACTTAGAGAGACCATGTCTCAAAAAACAAAAAAAGGTCTGGGGATATAGCTTTGAGTTTAATTCTCAGCATACCTTTCCTCCAAATATATATTCATTGCTGTAAAACTACTAAGCACATGATTACCTCTCCAGCTTAAAATACTGGAGCATCCATTGAGAGAGACTTGGTTAAAGCATGGCTTATTCATATATGGAAC